GGTCACTTGGGGCTTAACGCTGAGAGGTGCTGAGCAAAGGGCCAGGAGCCTCCAGGGAACGGGCTGGGAACACTGCATCCCAAAATTTAAACATCACCTCTGATCCCAAAGTGGGAAGATGCCAGATGAAGTCACAGGAAGATTGGGAAATCTCAGTCTAGGTTTTTTTGGTTTTTTTTTTTTTTTTCAAATATCCCCTTAAAATATTTGTTGTTCACTGAGGCTCAGAAAATTCCATTCATTTCTCCATGCTGCTGCCCATTTAATGAGGTAGAGAAACATTTTATTATTCCCCTCTGATGAATACAAAAGCACTGAAACCCCAAAGCTGAACAGTGAAACAAACAGTAAATTATTTCAATCCTCTTAATTCTCTGCTTCTTTTGGCAGATAATGCCACAAATAATTGTAGCTTAGCAGCCACAGATTCAAGAGAGATTTCTTTTTAAACTTTGGAAATGTTTAAATTGAGTGAAGTAAATTTTACCTAAAATTTTTACCTAAACGGGGAGAAAATAAAAGGAGAGTTTTCCAAATATGACAGTGACTATCAACTCATTTCTTTCATGGTTTTTTTTTTTGCAATGAGGTTGCAGGCTAGTTAAGGGAGGGCAACTTCCACCACTCAGTCCAAACCCAGGCAATGCAAAGTCTGATGAAACTCAGTAAACTGAAATAACCTTTTGCTCCAAACTCCTTCCCCAGAATTCTTGAAGAGCTGCCTAAGGCTGAGCTGGAATGTGGTTGGAAGTGTTTGAATTAAGTGCAGTTAGCCCAAAAGACAGCTTGGCTTCCCGCAGAGGTGTAAAGGATCAAAAAGGGATTGTGGAGGACAGTGCATTGTTGTTGTGAATTATGCAGTGAGCTGACACCACACTGGAATACTCATCAAAGTTCCTCAGAGCTGCTCCCTTCCAGATGAGCAAACAGAACAGCCCAGAGCTCTGAGGGGAACTGAAATAACATCTCAAAGTGCTGTAAAACACATTTGCTGTGTCTGACTTTGCCGACCCTGTGCCAGGTAACAGCTCCACTAAACTCACCGGCATCACCTGCATGAGGATGACCCCGAAGGGTCACCTGAATCACTGAGGGCAAGCTGCAGCCTTTGCAGCGATCATGTGTGTTCAGACATCCTAGGAAACCAGAAGGCATCGATCTGAAATCCATGGATTTTCAAACACCTTCTGTTCCATAACACCGGGAAGGAAGGAGTCAGTGTCCAGACCCTGGAGGGGTCCAGCCCTACAGAATGGGAAGAAGACCCCAGAGTTATGAGGGGCTTGACTGATGTATAAGATCAGCATCTAATTAATTTGTTCTGTAACTTGAATATGCATCATTTTGTGCCTTCATACATTTTTCAGGCACAGTTTTAATATTAATTTTGATTGGATGTGGAAGTGTCAATCCCCACGGGGTGCAATTAATAACATGTGCCAAATCAGGAGACCATAAATGTATGAAGGTGAGTTAGTATGCATCAGATGCTTCTATTTCCCATTATCAAGAACTGCTTGACAATCTTTTAAAAATTGTTTTCATTATACTTTTTGAGGAGGAAAAAAAAGGAGATAACTCTGCTGGGAGCAGGAGTTGACTGCAGGGGCAGCTATTACACTGGGATTTAAGTGGAGCTCTGACCCATGAGCAAGAATAACAGAAGTCTCATTGATTTCAATTAGAGGAGGCTCGGGTCTATTTACTGTAACTGAGTCGATTCCCCGAAAAATAATTAATTCCTTGTCGTGTCTCACGTGTATTGATTTTGGTAATTACAGCGAAACTGGAGGCCAGGGTGTGTGAGGGGGGAAGGAAATGCACTTGATTTACATGTAATTTGATGCACAAGCTGTCAAGGACACAGAAATTGAGACACAATGACCATGCCTGTCCTCCATGGGCTGCTCTGAGCTCAGATAACAACTGTGGAGAATCCAAAATCACTCCCTGCCCTGACCCACTGCAGTGTAAAGAGCTGTCTCTGCAGAGCCTCCACAGCTGACTGAGGAAATGCCCAAGGGGAAGAAGATAAAGACAGGACAAGCTTAATGTGTATCAGTGACTAAAAGGGGGAGACAAAGAAGTAGAATGGGAGAGAAAGAAAATACAAGTTGTTGCTGATAATAAAGCTGCCAGTAGATAATGTAATGAAAAATAAGGAGCGAGAGAAAAGAAAATACATACAGCCTTGCTGGGTAATGATGCTGTGAGGAAAAAGCAGCAGGAGAGACCTGAACTTTGTTTGCCACATGATTTCACAGAGAATTTTTACCTCGAGTCAGCCAGCATTTGACTTCTTAGCTAGGTGACAGTCTCCTTTGCCAAATGTGTTTGTGGCAGTGGCTGGCCCGGTTCCACACACAGAGATTTGATTCTAACACTCAATTTCTAGTTTCTGCAGCAGCAGAGATTAGTTTTTCATAAAGATCTCATCACTATTTACACAGACAAAGTACGACCTTTGGGGCTCACTAAAGCCAATGCCTGCCCTGACTTCGGCAGGACCTCAAGAAGCTGAATTACTGTTTCCAACCTTTTGCCTAAAAACACCAGTTCGAGAAGTTTCCAGCTCTTATAGGAGAAAAAAACCCCTTTTTGCTATACAACAGCCCTGCCAGTGAAAGCTGCAAAACAGTCTCACATCCAAACATTAAAAAGAAATGACATATATGAGGGAGAGGCAGAGTTGAAGGGTGTAAATCAGTCCCGAGTTGAGCACTTTCATCTCAACACACGGTATTTTAAACAAAAAAAACAAACCCAAATCTCTGCCTCCAGCACAGGGAACTAATTTGCATCCAGTTTGTGCAGCGTCTAAAAACTGTTGTGTAAAATGTCAGCACTCCAAGGCAAGTTTTCTTCTGGTGGCCTCCATACAGCACAAGAGAGAAAGCTGCAAACTCCTGCTCCGAGAAAGGCCAACAACACCCGAGTGGTTGTGGCAGCTCTGCTGGCAGCACTCTGTGACACAGCGTTCTTCCTGGCTGGGGAAGAGCTCTGTGCACAAAGTCAGAACACAGCAAACTGTGAGTCAGGAATAAATAACCTCATGGCAGGCAGTGACTGATGGTGGCAAATCTGTCTCCAGTGGAATTATTGGGAAGAATACTGAGAATTCTTTCCCTCTTAATATATTAAGCTCTTTGTTTGGGGCTGAGTTGATACTGCCAGAAAACCCTTTTAACACAGCTGGCATAAATTTTAGTGGGTGTTTGAAGCAGGAGGGACTGGGCTGTTAAAAAAGCAGCCCCCCGGGAAAGCTGCTGCCTGCACAAAATACATCAGCTCTCCTCAGCTGGGAAATCATTTGATCTATTTTATATCACAGGCCCTGTCACTAAGGAAGCAAATATGGATATGAAATACGGACACGGAGCAAAACATAAAAAGAGACTTAATAAAATGAGTAATTATGTTTTCCCTAAATCCTCTCATGCAAGCAAGAGGCACACACCACCATAAATCCAGCCAAGTGTGTGGGGAAGGAGCAAAAGCCCTGCAGCCAGGCCCTGGGAGGCACATTTACTGCAGAGGGTGTCTCAGCAGGGATGGAGAGTGATGATCACTGCAGTGCTTTCACCAGTGGCCAGATCCAGGGGAAAACAGGGATCTGGAGCTGCTCTGTGCTATGACCTCACACTTGGCACGTGCACAGCTGATGGAACAGTCTTACACTACCAGTCCAGCACAGTCTTTCAAAACATAACTCAAGTCCTCAGTGACAAACTGTCAGTGCTCTGCACTACTCCTCAGTGCACCAGTAAATTAAAAAGAACCAAAAAAACCAAGAATAAAAGAGAGGACACAAAGAGAAGTAATCAAGTGCTCAAGTATTCAGGACAAGCCAGCGTTAGAAGCACTTGCAGATTATTCTTTGGCATTTTAAATTCCAGTATTTCAATTCCAGTTCACATGCCCGAGAAGCTCATGATCCTACAGTACCAAATATAAAACATAATATTATGTATAGTCTTTATACCCAGATGCCTACAACATCAGAAAGTTCCACCTTATTTATGAACATGATTTTAAAAAAGATGAGTAGGAAACTGGAAGTGCAAACTTTTTTATTTCTCCAAACTACTGCAAACTGCTGGCTATTCTGACCTTAGCCTAATTTATTCTCTGGCTATTTCACAGGAATGACATGACAACACTGATTAATTCACACCCAGTGCTAGAATTCCAGCTGTAATACAAGCACAAAAACATTAGGACTGTGGACACAGACAAGAAATGAAAAGTGAAGCTGAGGACACAAGTCTGAGCGAGAGCAGAAGAAATGAAAGCAGACATGACATGATGGGCTGTGAAGGATTACACTTGGCTATGAACTCTGCTGCAAACAAGTCTCCCTCTGCAGGGAAGTCTGATTACACAGTTCCCTAGGTCTCTCTACAGCAAAATCAGGGACAGGTGGAGGGCTCTGAACCCGCTCCACTGAATTTGAGGGTAGAACTGCCACCAGCTTCAGAAAAGATCAGAACTTGTATTTCAGATGTCACATGTAGATGCAACACACAAAACCAAAGGCAGGACACCCAGCAAGCAATGTAGAATATTAAGCACAGTTATCACGAAAAGCTCGTTGTTTTGCACAAAAATACACCATGATCAACGACCACCAGTACCTGCGGCGAGCATGCTAAGGAGATATCTCTTTTTCTTTTCACATGTAAACTGTGTTTTGTTTCCCTGCCGCTGGGGCACAGAGGAGGGAAGGGCACACTCTGCTGGCCAGGAGCACCTCTTGCACCGAAGGCTTTTTAGCAACACGAGTGCTGAAAAAATAATCCCCGTTCCTGACATCTGCAGCCGGAGTGGTGCTCCACACCAGGCTGCCACTTAACTTTTCTCACCCTGAACATTAGTGACGACGGCTTTGAGGCTGAGAATGGATCCTCTCATGTTTAAACATCAGCCTACCTGCTGCAAGAACACTTTTCCTTCCTGAAGGACACTTTTAGCAGTGTAACATATGTTCAAAAACTCTTTACCTTAGGCTTCTCATCCAGTATTTGCTGACGGATCTCCTTGTGTTTCTCTACCAGTTTCTCCTGCCTTTTACTCTGAGCATCTTCTAGCTGTAGGAAAATAGCAGAGAGCTTGTCTCAGAGATTGAACATCCTCGCTTTCCCACCTCTTTCCCAGCAAACTTGTCATCCATTAAAATTAGAAAGTTATCATCAAAACTATCAATAATTCCAATATAAAATTACACAACGTATCTCAGATTTTGCCCATGGGATTCAGAACCACAAATGTCTAAAGGACTTAACTGTTGACTCCTAATGCTACCAAAAGCAAAATGCAGTTTTAAAAATTATTTTGCTTTAGCTTTTCTTACTCAAGCTGTGAGAGATGAACCCTGCCCAGAAGGAGGGGATTTGCATACTGGAGTCCTAAATGAACACGCTGATCAATTCTGGGCCCCATGTAATAAAGCACTCAGACATGGAATTAACTCTAACAGGAATTAAACGTGCTCAGTTTGCTAATTCTTTAGCTGGCTTCCTAAATCAAGGCCTTCCTGAGAGAAATGAACTTTTGAACTGAACTATGGGTGCACTGAAATTAAGAGAAAATTCAATAGCTGAGTATGTTTCACAGTGGTTTCACACATCAAAACACTGCAGTGCACACTTTCAGCCCAGTGTAAACCACCCACAGCTTCAGAAAAGCTTAAAGCTAACACCTGTAATGAAATCCTTTGATTTGTGTTTACAGAGCTCACAGAATGCTTTTCTCATTTCAGCAACTGTACAAATCCAATTAAAGGTAAAATATACTCTGCAATTAAATGTTCATTGACTTTCAGTGTTCCTTATACAATCTTTGCATTTAAAGAGAGGGCAACCAATTAAAAAAATTGTAATATTTTTCATGAATACACAAAGGATATTCAAAGATGAAATTGTATTAAAATCTGCCTCTCTCGGCAACATCACTCAAACACTGACTAATAATTAATGAAGAACTGTCTGAAATTCCAGTTCTCCTTTAACTGGAATGGGAAGAAAAGTCTACGCTGCACCTGTAAAACATCAGTAACTGCAGAAGATTGAAATCTGCAGTTTAATATCACCTAAAAGATGAAAGCTGGCATTTTATCCCCACGAATGGAAAACAAACACATGGCCTGCCATACCCTCTTTATGTACTGCACCACCTCCTGGATGTAGGATCGGATCATTTCCGTCTTCTCTCTGTGGGGGGAGCAACCAACAAGTGACTGTGGTCAGTAACGTCACACCAATATCTGAATCCCCTCAACTCTCGGTGATCTAATTAGGGTCATGTTCTGAATGCAGGGACCTGAGTAATCAGCTTTTGTGTGCTTCCTGTAGGTGTCCTTTAATGCAGGAAGGGCTCAGACTCCCCCCATGACCTGCAGGACAAGCCCCTGCTCCTCCTCGACAGGCTTTTCCCCCAGGATGAGCCGTTTCCCAGGCGGTGGTGGTGTTCCCAATCAGCCCGGCAGCACACGCAGCCATCAGCAGACACACAGTGCCACGCTGTGGCACTTGGTGGAGCAGAGGAACAGCCTCTGCCAGAGCAGAGACCGCTACTGACAGCCAGGGACGAGGATCCCACGGAGAGCAGGGCACGCGTGACTTTGGGCCCACATAAACGTGCAGGAAATGCTTTAAGTCATTTTGTGAGGCAGTTATTCGGAAACCATCCGTCAAAGGCTGAAGATAAGACATAAAAGCACACAAAATAACAATCTGTGGGTACTTCAGCTGAACAGTTTCAGGACAGAACTGTAAAACCTGATTGCCTCAGTCAAGACCAGCGAATTGCTGTTCAGGTGGCACTAAAATGGGGTGGGTTTAGGCAGTTACACCAGCCCTGAGTGGATGAAGGAGAATTAGGTGAGAACAATTAATACAATGTATCATCTCTGTGCAAAATCCTTTCCCAAAGGTGAGTAAAAAGCTTTAGATAAACAACAACTGAGCCAGAGTAACTGGAATGGCATTCACCAGGGCTTGCTACTCCCTGTCCCACTGCCAGCATGAGGACAACCTGTGTCCCAGACTGAGGAAAGCCCAGTTTCCCATGTCGTTCCCATCTCACCTTTCCCGAGGGCTCCTTTAAAAAGCCCGGCAAAGGAAAGCCCTTGGGAAGAATGAGAAAAAAAATGAAAGGAAAACAAAAAAGAACTGCTACTTGTCTGCTCCCAAGCCTTTCTCACCAGTGTCCCACTAACCTCTCAGCAAATCATTTCCTGCTGCAATTGATTTTTTACTGCTGTAACATTTCCGTAATGCCCAACTACCTTTTTCTAATATGAATTCCAGGCCCCCTGACCAGCTTTAACCATATTAAGTATTTCTTCCTCTTTTTCCCCAATCAATTATTCTCCTTTTGATATATTTTTTCCTAGCATGTTTATTAAGATCCTATAGCACTGATTCTGAAATTATCTGAAGCACTTCACCTCCTTTCAGTGTTACCAAATACACAGATTCCCTGGTGAGAGGCTCCAAAACCTGGGGAAAGCTTTTTACCTGTGGAAAACCAAACACAGTTGTGCCTTTGTTACATGGTAAAACCCAAACACTCTGGATTTTCCTTTTTTTTGTTTTGTTTGTTCCTCTTGTATTTTTACCTGCCCTTAAATATTCCTCAAGTAAAAGTCCAGTCCTTTCTCTGATTTTCCCGTTGTGAAAACTTTGGCCTCCTCATAACCTACGAGAATACCGATCCAGGGATATACTTACTCTTCCATTTGATTTTTATCCTTGGACTTTGCTTCTGTGATCTTCTCCTGCCTCTTCTTGTCCATTTTTTTCTTCAGTTCTTTCTTTTCTCTGAAGCATAAAAAAACAAAGGCAAGTTCAAGAAGGGATCTAAACAAACCCCCACGGAGCAGCAATCAGTGGGAAGGGGAACAGCGCTTACTTTTCACAGGTTTCCTTCAGTTTCTTCAGTTGGTTGTTCTGACACTCCTCTGCTACATCTGTCAGCTTCTGAATAAGCTAAAAAAAAAACAAACATGCCAAGAAACAAAAATGTGTATTTTCAGCTAAATACTACACAGGCATCCAGGTTTCCTCAAAAGTCTGTAGTAGAGAGTGTTACGCCATTCCCAGATTAATTCCCGGCAATCCAAAGCCAGTCCACATTCTTATCAGTGTAAACACGTTACTAACTGGTGGAGTTCAGCCAGGCTGGTGCAGGCCCGACCTCCACAGAACCCACTGCTTCTCTGTGCATCCGGGTGCTTTAGTTTCCCCACACTGAAATGTAAAACCAAAACACATTTTGCAGATTTCACCTCTGCCAGGAATCGAAATGCCCGTGGATAATTCACAGGTGGTCCCCAAACCGAACTTACACACCACAAATTACAGACTGAATCCCCGTGTCACCGAACAGTCGAGGTTCTCTGAGTGAGTGCTGAGCACACTCCTCTTGCATGGAGTGCTTCTACGTGCAATAGCCTGGATTTCGGGGAGCTCGGGTGGTTGTCGACAACTCATGCTAAGCACAGAGAAGCACAGCCTGCACTTTGCCAGCAGAACCGTGGGTTCAAAAATATCTGAGTGGTTGGTTTGGGATCTGCTGTGCAGTGCTGGGTCCCATCTCATCCGTGCTGAAAGCTCAAAGCAAGTCCCATCCCTGTGGTGGGGATGCAGATGGGAGAGCACACGTGGACAGGGCTCGTGGGCGACTTCAATGAACAGTGAATAAAGTGGGAAATGGGACCAAGTTGGTTTAATCACACCCCCCCCAGTTTAAGTCTGATTCTGTAAAACAACCCTCCCAGGGTTATGAGCCAGGAACGTATAATAATAATAGGTGGTCAGATTCAGCTTTTCATTCCTTAAATAAAAGAATAAAGGTACTGACAATAGGTTCAACTCTAAAAGAAAGATACCAGAGAGAATCTCTCCGCTGCAAGGCAAATTTTAATTGGAATATTAACTCCTGCACAGTTCAGAGGGAAAACTGCCTGAGAGTTCTGTGCTAAAATACGAATTTAGTCTGACACTGCCTGCCTGGATAGTGCCAAAAATGTAACTTTGCTTTTGAGAAAGGCCATTTCCCATTTTGGAAAGAGAAATGAGTTACCTTACAATATAAGCCCAACTATGTGGGTCCAGAATGGTGCATTTTTATAAAAATTATAATCTCTGAGCTGCAGACTGTCACTTGAATTTGTGCAAAGGCCCTGCTGAGCCCTATCCACACACTTTGCTCCTCTGACCTGCTCTTTTTGGATGTCAGGGCAGAGCAGACAAATCCCTTCAGCCAACAGTACCGAGGCAAAACATCAGGTAATCGAAAAAACTGTGAGAGAGGATTGTCTGGAGTTGAGAAACAGTTTGCACTCCCATAACATCCTTCAAAAATATTCTTTTCTGCCTAAGAATATCCATTAGCATCAGCTGCCATCTGCCCAAGGCTCTCTATTTCAGCTCAGAGGGCCTATGATCCTGCTGTAGCTGTCAGCCAAACTCCAGCTGTAAAAACACAGGCTGACTTGGACTAATGGACACAAAATATTTCTTCACCATACACAGATTATGTCCTGCATCCCCTCAGAGCATTCATCTGCAACAGGAACACTCCTTGGCACGACTCTCTGTCCTGGGGAACGTTTGAATCTCTTCTCGTTTATTTATTTTCATGGCGCTTCAATTTATTTTCCAGCTAATCCTGCCTCGCTGTGTGTTGTACAAAACCCAGGATCATCGCCCAAGAGCTGCAGCAAACAGAGTTATGTAACCAGAGGCAGTAACAACCCTGCTGCCTCTCTGCCTTCCGTGCAAAGCCTTGCAAGCTGCTGGAGGTGTCAGTGACAGAGTGACCCGAGGAAGCTCCATCTCCCTGCCTCGCGCTGCCCTCGCTGCTCAGCCTGGGCTGGTTGAAGGAAAGCAGAGCAGTGACAAACGTACCAGCTTAATGTGCTCCCGTTTCTGGTACTTCTCACTGTAATACTGCTCCTGGCGCAGGTTCAGCAGCTGCTGCTGTTGCTTCTCCTTCAGCTCCACGAGCTTCTGGGTCATTTCAGAGTCCAGGGCAGCCAATTCCTGCTCAATACTTGAACTGTGGTCCGGGCTGCCCGTCTCAGACCTGCAAAGGCACACACAACCAACCCCCTGAGGTCTCAGTCACAAGGCATGGACACTCTGCCCCATATCTACACCTCGTATTTAAAGCTGATGTTTATAAATATCCCATTAATAATTTCCTCAGCACCACAACATACATGATTTTAGACCTAGGAAGTCCAATAATTTAATCTTTTAGGGAAAACACAATATTAGCAATTTATTAACAGGATGGCCATCACTTTTAAACCTTATTTTACTGACCCACCACGGTGCTGTCACCCAGACTTAGTATAAATTAGCTATACTGCCAAGATTTCCCATAAACAGATGCTCATGGAACTTGTTTATCCACTTCCAGTCACGTAACCTGAACTTCAAAGCTGCACAGCCTTCAGCAGAAACGGTGCATGCAAAGTATTTTGGAAACTGAGTCATCCTCGCCTGCTCTCAGAGCAATAAATTTAAAAGCCCAGCTCTACATCTGCATTTATAAAACGCTTAAAATGGCAGGAAGGTCCCTTTATTTGGTATTCTGTCCCCCCTTCAGGAAATGCCACGCATGGTGCACACAGAGGAAAGGGGCTCTGTGGATTTGCTGACTTAGGAAGGAAAGCGAACACCCCAGTGGGGAGCAAACCTCAGATGGGCAACACGCAGGAGCAAAGGGAAAACACGTGAAGGGAGCTCAAAAGCAACACTAAGGAACAGTTTGGGTACATTTTATTCTTCCTTAAGGCAGAAGGAAGGGGAGATGCAACGGTGAAAGAAGGCGTGAGGGCACTAGACTGCTCAAGAGGAAAACAAGCAGCAAAACCAGTGTCACTCTCAGGCCAGCACCAAACCAAACCCGAGAAAAATACATCCAAAACCAAGATTATGCCGTGTGCCTGCTCTGCTGCTGTGTTTGCTGCCGTGCTCAGGTGTTACATCAGTTGCCTGGGAAACGTCAGAACAGCGCAGGAGATGGACAGAACAACAAACCCTTGAACAGAGGGGGCTGACACCGGGAGAAAAATGAGTTTGCTGCTCAGAAATGTGCAGGGATTACAGTGCAGAGAACTTGCCACACTGGCTGCCTCTCTCCTCTCTGCCAGGTTCGAGTGTGCAGCTGCTGTCAATTAGAGGGGCTCCAACTGAAATAATGGGAATCTGCTTCCAGCGGCCCGAGGACACAAACCCCAAGGTAGCCTCGTTTTATTTCTTGTATTTTTACTGTATTTGAATATTCTGCTAAGAGGTTAAGTGGTGTCATTGTGATAGGTGAGGGGAATTTCAATATTCCAGAGCCAGAAGACAGCATTAATGAATATTACAATCACTGTATTATGCCATTACACATTTTAAAGCTGACATTCCTCGTGTATTTGGGAGAAAGAATTAAGGCCTATTTCTAAACCCTGGCTCAAATGCTGTTTTTTACAAGACATGATCACTAAAGGGACTTCAGAACAACAGCAACAAAACACTTGTGTGCGTGGATAAATAAATACTTCAGACTTCCTGCAGACATTGAGTTTACTGAATCCTGGCTCAGTTTTAGACAAGGGTATGAAGCACAGATTGCTTGTGAGCAGAAACAACGCGTTTTCATGGCTGTCTGATACAGGTACTCTTGAGGAACTCATGGTTTATACTTTGCAGTTACAGGCAAATACCTTCAGTAATAATTTAAAGTGATAAAAATACTCCTTTCTCCTTGGGGTGCAGGATTCCATGAGAAGGCTGCTGTACCTGCAGGTTTGAAAACCCCTACAGATGTACTCCTGCCTTTTCAAAATGTAACCTCTGTTTTTTTAACCTTCAGACTTCTCTGTACCTGCCCATGAAACTTCACGTCTCTGAAACCCCTGTGACAGCTCCAGGGACTAGAACTGCAGGGCTTTACTGCCTGATACCATGAATGATTTATGATCAGATCATAACACAATAAATTAAAAAAAAAAACCCAACAAAATCCTTTTTTGCTCAGAGATAAATGAGTCATTTCACTTATTCAGTTTGATTTTCTGCTTACATGTGAACTGAATATGGTAGAGAGAGGAGAAACGTGACGTTGTTTTGCCTGCCACAACACTTTGGTGATGGAAAACGCGGAGGATAAAACATCCCTGTGCCTGCAGTTCACAACCAGTCATTAAGGGAGTCTATTAAACTCCAGTATAGAACCTGGAAGCCTGAGAACTGGCAACAGTTAAAGCCAGCTGAACATAGATATATTATGAGTGTCAAGCTCTTATTAAGCCCAATGACATTCTGTCATCAGTAGAGCTTAAATAATAAGCTCCTGCCTAGGGACAAGTTATGGCCTGAATCCCAGTCACTTACATTTAGAGGGACTATCAACAAGCTTGGCAGCCAGACCACGCTTGCAGCTTTTTTCTCTGATGATCTCCTACCAAAAAGTATCAGTAATTTTTTTTTTTATTCAATGTCTTCATATTTCAGAACTGCAGCTATATCAGCTTCCTATAAAAGTTAAAGGACTTTTCTGTGCTTATCTAATTACTACAAAAAATAAATGATGTTAAAACAAGAATGATGCACCAATGGGAGAAACAAAAATTCAACTGCAAGAGTATCAGACACCGATTGGATCTATGTGTGTGCATGTTTTGCCAGGAGTTAAGAATTGAAATCTATTAATACACAGTCCCTTATCATAAGAACAAGGCAATAACTGTGTGAAGATTAGTAAGTCACTGCAGTCTTTGCATTTCAAACTGATAATGGTAAATACAACTCTCATTTCTTATTATTATCTAAACCAAAAATATAAAAATCGTATCAAACACACAGAGGGACAGGGTGATGCAAGGCTTGAAGAAAGAGAGAGCACAGAAGGAGTGTGCATGCAGAAGCACAGCCAAGCAGTCTTTAGGAGATTCCCCAAGTGTTCTGGATCAATCATGATTTAAACAGTAGTCAGATCTTAATTTCCACATCTGATGCCCTCTGCTCTATCATGAGTTTTTTTCCAAGGCTCTCATCCCCTTTAACTAGCAATCTTGCTGCTTTTGATTTTTTCTGTGCTCTTGTGTCACCTCCATTTACTGTCTACTACAAAAGAAGACTGGAGTAAAGACCCCTAATACCAAGATGAGGAAAGCTGTTTGACATACCTTTTCTTGCTGTCTCTTTTTGCTGTTTTCTCTAAAACTGCTCTCCTCCTCAGGTAGTCATTTTGGATTTCGTTATACTTTGCAGTGTGTTCTTTGATGAGGTCGGTGGTTTTCTTGTGGTGCCTCTTCACAAGGTCCTTCATTTCCTTGTAGTGCTTCTTCTGAAGCTTAACAAAAGCCTTCTGCTGTTTCAGCTCCTCAATAGTCTGTGCTTCCACTTCTACAACGACAAAAACAAAAGCCACTTCAATTTCCTAACAATGCATGATTTCAATCACTGAAGCCAGGAATGAAACAAAGCTTGTCCACTGTGGCTAAATGAAATGGCAGCATAAACTAACTGAGGAGATTTAGCTGGAAATAAGGTCACTGGACTGAAAACACTGTGGCAAATTTAACTGATATGAGCGAGAAGAGAGATGAAAATTTAGAACACCAAGAAGTGTAGCAAAATAAAATCCTTCTGCTTTCTTTCCTCAAGCCCTTTTCAGATGCTAGAGATTTTCATCAGCCCAACATATAAAAATGTGATCTTGCACAGGATATGACCACAGATCCTTTCTGTACCTGCTGTCCCAACACTTCAAGTCTCCCTTCCCTCAGGATGGGCCCCATAACATGTTGATGCCTAAACCCCCCTCACCCCCCTGCTCTCCTGCCTCTACCTGGGCACTGACTGGAGGCATCTGTCCCAGGATCCCCAGGGAATCTTGGGAGAGACTTCACTTCTCTTGTGGTGGAGACTCTGCCTCAGAAGAGTCAGAGCCCCCTGGCTGCCAGCCCAGCGAAGGACTGGTGGCTGAATGCTGAGCTCACCCCAGAGCAGAATTCAAAACCACCAAGGGCCTGAAGGAGCGATGACCTGCACCATCTGGGCTCGCAGCTCTGCAAAAGGCAGGCTGGAGATCCCTCCCCAGACAGCAGATGGGTTGTGGGAAGCCAGCACGTGCTCCCACACTCTAGGCCAGGCTCTTTCTACTGCACGTGAGGGAGACTGAGTAAGAGGCAACCGACACACAGAATATCACGTCTTACCTGTTTTCCACACCTAAAGGTAGGTCTGCACAGGATTTGGCCATGGAGTGGGTTCTAATGTGGAAGAACAACTATAAAATCAACTGATTTATGGGCTTTGCAATCTAAACTAACTCCAAGCGGGAGGACACGACTCCCAGTTGAACCATAGGGCCCCATGTAACTGGCAGGCCAGTTTGCTCAATGAAATGGTAATTTTCAGCATTGTAGGAGCACTGGGAACACTGCAAGGCTAATGAAGATAAAATGGTTTCATTCCTATTCACTATAGTCAGGAAAAATTTAGCTTCTGTTCTCAGAATAATGCTGGTCTTTTGTCTGCACTAGATGGTAACATGGTGCTTGTGAAACTACAACAGTGGGATATTTTAAAAAAATTCCCTGCTGGCACCCAGTCTCACGAAATGTGCTCAAACATTTAATAACTTCCAATCTCAGGAAGGAAACATGGCATGTACATTTTCTAGGAGTTACTGCAGTCCTAACTGCCCAAAGAAATGCCTAAGCCGGGGGCCTATTCCATAAAAACCACGTTTTCTTGACAAAAAAGCACGTCATTCATGCAGTGTGACCTGTGTGTTTATTACCTGTGAGGACACTCTGGATAAGATCTTCTGTCTTTGCAGGCGCTTTCACCGAACCTGGAGGTAAAAAAAGAGATGAGTGATTCCAATTCCTGTACAACAACAGCCATTATTGTGCTGCTTGAGCGGGTGTTACAACGTGGCAGGTGACACAGGACACACACACTGACATGGGCATTTATTAACCATTGGAGAAAACACACCTTGAGCTGGAAAACAACAAAACCCTGTGAAGCCACATGAAAAGGTGACCTTCCAAAAACCCAGCTGAGCTTTGCTGGTTTATTTATAAGGGGGATGCCACTGAACTGCCTCCCACGAGTCGTTTAAGGGGCACTAGGCTGACAGTACGAGTGCCCTGCATTAGGAGGTCAGTGCAAAACTTCTATGCACAGGAAGGATCCAGCTCCTTGGAAGTCAGTTAGGCCAAGCCCATGGAGACTGCAGGCATAACATTACAAGCACTGTGGTTTGACAAGCATTTGTTATAGGAGGTTTGTCCATAGAAAACCCAGGACTGTTTCTCTGTGTGTGCAGCAAGATGTAATTACGTGCATAAATTAGGTAGATTCGTAAAAACAATCCAAGAGATTCCTGCACTTGCAACAACAACGACAACAACAAAATCCCAGCATGTTTTCTTGCTTGTCAAGAACTTCAGTTTCACCACAAAAGCAACCCTTAGGTAGAAGATGTTTGTGTATCTGAAGAAGACCAGCCCTAACAGCACAGAAAAGTGGTGGCAAGGTTTCTACCTATTTTATCCGACCAAACCAAACACACACAACAGCCCCTTTGTTCTTCAAACACAAAGCCCTCGTAAAATTGTTCCTTTTTACCTGGTGCTGGCTGGCTGTGGACAACCTGAGTTGCTGGTTTCGGTGTAAGAGAGGCTGTGTAATTTACTCCATTCTCTGCTGGTGTTGGCCTTGGTTCACTGTTAGCTTCAGACGGTGCATCTCCGTGGTCAATCTGAAAATATACAACGATTTACATTATTCTCCCCAACCAACAGACTTCATTTATTTGCAGATCTACTTCTTAAAATGTAAAATTCTGTAAATGTTACACCTAAAAGAAAACAACAAAAAAAGATATCCTTAAAAGCCACGGTAACCCAGGTGGCTCGTTTCTGCAGGGTGAATTTCAAGAAGAAATAGAGCATGTTTTATTCTGAAAAAGAGTTTTAAGTGGATATAACTCATCAGGGATGTTGTTCAGTACAGTATACATGAGCTGCACCAGATGTGAAACCCCTATTTTATTGAAAGGCACTGTTCCCTGCCATAAAATCTTCCTAGAAATAATGTAGTGCTGGCAGGAAAACGCTGCTCAAATCCCTGCTCTGAACAAAACGTGTGCACAAAATAACGTTTCAAATTTCATAGATAGACACAGCACTACCATTAATCACCATTCTTCCAGGACAGAGGCATACTTCTGATTCCCAAGATCCCACATTCTTGTAATTACACTCCAAGGATAATATGTAAACAGTACCTCCATCCTGCTGCATGAATGCATCTGCGGTATCCAAATATTTAAGCATATTTTCCACGCTCTTTCCCTTCTCTCCAGTCTCCTAAAGGCTCAGGCTTTCAGCACTACACACTGATCATCTTACAGTTGCCCTTGTGACCACGAGGTTTTAAGCAGGCCCCCAGCACTGAGCAAACAGAAGGTCATTCAAAGCAATTTTGATTCGGAAATGGCCAGGCCCTGCTTCCCGCTGTCCCTGCGAGGGGCCAGTTGCCATGGTGTCCTCAGGGCACTTTTGGATTTGTTCCCTCAGCTGCTTCCATTTCACTCTTTGATGGCAATCACGTTACATGCAGGGGCAGGACACCACAGTTGTTGTTTTTCCCCCCTGTGCTCACTCCACACTTTGCAAAATATCAGCCTGCACTGCATCAGCTGAGGCAAAATGCATTCCGGCCTCACTGCTCCTGCTGCTGGTTCCCTTCAGCCTGGCCCTGACAGCACACTGCACCACTGCAAAATTATGTCTGTCTCAACAGCTGACTTCTACCAAAATTACAGGAGAGACAACTGATACAACTGAAATACAGTGCCAACGACTTCATTTATATCAAGCAGGAAGAACTGCAGTAAAATATGGGAAAAATGATCTAGCCAACATTTAAGACAGAGGAAGTGTGACTGGCAAAAGCTGTAGCTGTGACAAACACACTCAGACATGGTTATCCCCCTTAATTCTCCTTAAAATACCCCTCACAGGCTGCAATTCATTAGTTTAATAAAAACAATACTTAGATCATCAACATTTAATACAAATAAAGCTGGAATTTCTGCCCTCTGGCAGGTCTGTGCCGCAAAAGCCACTGCCTGAGAAAGGGGGTATTATCTTGAGACTAGGTTTGTGTGTGCTGCAAAATGCTGCATCACAGCTTGTTGAGAAACTATTGATGCAGCCTGTCAGTTTGGGACATGAAACAGCTGTTTTCAGAAACCAAAGCAGAAATGTGAGACACGATCACGGAGTGAATAAAGAGTAATTTTCACTACATCAAGCAGTCTAATCGCATTAAAAAGCACTTTCTCTTCTCATAATTCACCACACCGAATGCCAAAGTAAACATGATTTTTCCTTGGTGGAGAATGTTTCAGGCCCTTTTTAAAACATGATGTAACCCAGACCTTTTAATTTATACTTCCAATATTCTCAGCAGCTGTTTCCATTCCACACTTTGCCACGTCCTTTGCAATACAGAGTATTTACTGAGCAGGAAGAGACATACCCCATGTCTGTAAAGGGCAGCAGGCAGGGGAACACAAGACTACCCATATGCTCTTGAGGATTGACAAAGTATTCAGACAAATACAGGTAAAGGTCCAAACCCCACAGCTATTAACATGCAAAATACCACAGGTATTAATTAACATGCTGCCATTCTCCAAGAACAGCTGCTCCAAAGCCAGCCTGGAAAGCAAGAACTGACCAGAAGGGTAAAGGAAGAATTCCTGTTACACTGAATGCTGGGAAATTTGCAAAGAAATAGAGAAAAGATGCTGGAACTTCTGTGAGTTCTTCAGCATTCTTTGTTTATGTAATTACACTGACTATCAATAGGCAGTATCATGTGAAGCCTAAAGAAAGGCTGATTTACCAGTTCAAAACAATTCACTATTAGATAGCTTATTTGACTGCTGCTCTGCAAGAAGCCTGAGTGACTTCCCTGAGAGCTTGACTTTAAAGTTCTAGATAGCAAATCAAAACAAAAATCCCTTAGTTTTCCTCTGACAGCTGCAAAAACCCAGTTCAGATAAATAAATGTGTGTGAGGGGAAGCAGAGAGTTGTGGGGAGGTGGAATCCGTGCTAGGAGACCGCACAGCTCTGCACACCACCATTTACAGTGTGTAAATTTGAAACTGGGCATCGGAAAAGTGAATCCAGGTGCACTTATAGGTACTTTTCTGGCAAGCACACTTGGGTTTATTCAGCTATGTTGCCAGTGAATGCTCTTGCAATTATTAATCAGTGTGCTTGTCATGGGCCAGTGTAAGTGAAGAAACCAGTCTGCCCAGGTGGCAAAAATGTTACCATCACAAAAATTGGGGAGGTAATTCAAGATTTCCAAGTACAGAGCGGCTGCACATCTTACCCAGAACGTGCCTCTATAAATAGAAGGTAACAGTGGTGAATTCAGGTTGCCACTTAAAGCAGCACTTCTGTACCTGTCCCTTGATACTGCAGCCAACTCAGCCACTCCCCATTTTTAGCAAATGCCACAATCACTACAGTTTTCTTTTACAGCCTATTTCTGTGCTACCCCAAAACAGGCTCCCTGACAAACAGTAGCACCACAAGTCATCTTTCCTTCTTCTTATTTGCTGTAGGAGATACTTGATGTCAGAATGTTTCTAACTAACAAATAAGCCTGTACACGCCAGGAAAATCTGTAGGTTTTCAAAAGTAAAAATTACCTCTAAGGTATTGGAAGGTTAAAAAAAAAACAAACCACCTTTGCTATTAATATAGAATCTCATGTGTAGAGTGTCCTAGATAAATGTCTAAGATGCTATTGAGCATTTCACAGTGTCCTCATTCAGCAGAACTTGTGACACTGCACAAAGAGTGAATTGTTGGCCACTGAATTGTAATGACTTTCACTCATCTGGTCTGCTTTGGGAATGTATTCTTGGTTACAAAATCTAGTTCAGTGAGGTCCTGTGCATCTGAGAATTGAAGAAGACACGCAGCAGAGCTGAGGGCAGTTTAGGATTATAAAGCATTTCTCCATCTTCACTAGAGACCTGCACCAAGGGCCTTTTGATTCACACAGTGAACATCTGACATGGGCAACGTTTGAAAGGCAAAGGTGATATTTTCAGAAGATGCCCCAGTGACAATGTCTGGGACAGAGAGAACGTCTGAACGTGTACAGAGTTCCTCAGATCCAAAGGCTGAACTGTCAGGATTCTCAGTTATGCTCAGAGTAACATCTGTGCACAACACCTCCAACTATACACAAAAACAGCTTTACAGGTCAGTCTGCAGTAACCGCATCATCCAAACAGATATCTAACAACAGGAATTGTGGCTCCCACAGCTTTCAGCTAAGCTACAACAGGCCTGAACATTTATTGACTCTATGGTCTCCTCCTCCCTCTTCATCACTGTTTCTAACATCTGTGAAGGGTTGGATCAGTTGAACTCCAGAGGCCCCTTCCCACCTAAATAACTATCATTATCCTGTGTCTCTTTAGGACACATTTGCTCACAGAGCATTTATAGAGAAATGATAATCTGAGATAGATACACTAATGTTTCTCAACAGAATAAGCTCCCCAGAATCAGTCTGAAATTCTGTACAATTTGTAATATTTTCAGGAAGGGCTACCGACCCAGAGTTGTCTATTCTGTAAGGGGAACCAGCACCACGTGGCAAAACATGCAGTGACTTACAAAGATTACACTTACTACACAACAGAGTTGCACAGCATACACATATAACGTGGCTTTTCATTGCCTTTACCTCTGAACAACAATTTTCCTCAGTGCACAGAGTGCTGCCTTCAGTGAAACCACACACACAGTGCAAAGCTCCTTGGCTCTGGTGTACCTGACTCTCATTCTGGGTGAGATCTTTACAGCTGTTCACGTAATCAACACATACAGTTCCCAGGGATTTTCAATATATGTCTTTCTAAGCAAAACAGGTGCTTACAAGCACTGCAGCATAACTTTCAGAGGCTCAGAAAGCGCCCTTACCTCTTTCTTTACCTCCTCCTCATCTTCCAGAGTCAGTGCAGCCAGTTGCTTGGCTCTCTGCTCCATCAAGTTCACGTATCTGATTGGATTGGATAAGGCCTCAATCACATCTAGAAATAAGGCAAACACTTGAGTTTGAAAGTCCTCATGTTATGGTTCCAGTGCTCCTCAGGTTTTAGGAAAGAGGAATATTTTCCACACAGGTCTGCTGCTGATAGTTGCTCCTGGGACCCAGAAAGAGCAGTGGAGGGGAGGACACCACCATGTACAAATACCAGCTCTTTTCCATTTTGTGCTTGGGTCTCATGGATATGCATTTTATTGTACACTGTGTTTTTATTATAAATTTTTGAAGCTTACAGCATCAGCCAGTTAGGACCCTGCTTCCCATGGGGCACAGAGAGGTAGAAAGTTCTGTAAAAGTTCTGTTGTTTAAAAAAGTTGAAATAGCTGCACAGAACACTGTTTTTCACTGGAGATGGTCTTTCACAGTATGGCAGTTAAACCCATCCCTGTTTATAGCCAATGCCAAAATAGAATTCTCTACCTTAAGCACTGCTCTTTGCTTAGGGAACAATTACACCCCAGTGTGTCATGCAAGCAAAGTTTTTCATTTGTGTTTCAATGGCAAATGCCTGGGGTACTTCCTCCTTCAGAGTCTGCTGAAAACAAAAGAGCTGGCCCCAATCCTAAACCTCAGGCCACCTCCTGGCAGTGATGAGACAGAATGATCCATCAGATGCAGACCTTTATTCACAGGACTGTCATCCCAATCTGGCAATTCATCCACACCACATGTATTTTGTGTTTCAATTAACCTTTATATTCCCCAGCAGGAAAATGCCACCGAATTACCTGCATACGTATCAGGTACATAGTCTTTGACCTCTATGTACACAAAGAGAGCTGGCAGTGTCAAAGGCTGGTTCCTCTCATTCCTCAAACAGATGTAGTGATAGCCTGCAAAATAAAGAGACAGTCAGTTCAGAGCATAAACCCTTCCACAGGCGTTTCCAATGTAACTGTGTTATCATTTGTTATTTACAAATAACAAATGTGGCTCCAACTGAGCAACCAACTCCAGGGATTTCTGGAAGGGAAGCATTTACCTGAAGGGTTTCAAAGGGAGTATACAGACACAGGACTCTTGGAAAGGCACATCATACTGCCTTTTAAAATTATATTTTCCCTTTATTTTTACCTATGTGAATAATGCTGAAAATTGTAATTTATTTAATTTTTTAAATGCATTCTCTTTTACTACCTCTGTCTGGATGTTTTTCAGTTTCATAGCTCTTTCTCACTTTTCAAGAGTCTTCCATCAATTTAGCTCCCCAAAATGCCTCACTGTACACTCAGACACATTAGTGCCAGTTTAAAGACAGTGATGGAAGTGCACAGGTAGGAATGGGAGAAAAGGAATTCCAGCCCCACCAAACTCACACAGCATTGCAGTGCTGCAAAACTGCACCCTCTGCCTCACAGACTGGTGTCTCTCCCACTGTGCCTGAGGCTGCTCTGCTAAGGCAGGGTCAGGATAAGAGCCATGAGCAGGATGGGAACTCTGGGCTGATGGGAACAACTCCCTCTCCAAGTTATAGTTGAACCCTTGCTTTGGGAACAGTGGTAACCCTGTGGATTTGCGTGACAGGATCACAGAGCTTCCAACAGCCTCTTAGAAAAGGGAGGAATTACACATTACAAAGGGTTCTCAGTTCTCTCAACCTCCTCCAGCAATTTCAGCATTTACATAAACTAACCCCAACACACTGCTCTCCATCACATGGTGTAAACTAATGCCTACTCGAGCCAAAAGGGCAGGAAATAGGCCTGTGGGTAACAGCTCTCAGAAGTCCTTGCAGGATTTAACGCAGGGGTCGTTGCTCTGAGGAGCACAAGCTTTAAAGCAGGTACAGGATTCGGTGATCTGATGAAAGGACTCTGTGCTGCATGCAGGGCAAGGGCCAGGAGAGGAGACCTGTGGCCAGAGCTCACTTTTACCACAAGGGGAGAAATCCCTCACATTCCCCTTTTCCTCCCCAGTGACCCATCTTCCTCTGGAGCTGGGCAGATCCTCCATGAGGCAGTTACAGCCACTGAGGCAGCAGAAAATGCAGCTGGTGTAAATGAGCTTTCTGCTGGATTGATAAACTGAGCTGGCTCCTTGAAAAGGTGTGGAGATTATTCTTCTGGAATAATATGAACTGTTGGACATGGGGACACGGTGAGTTTTGTGCAACTGTTGGGATTGACTAGATCAGGTACAGGGCAGATAGAGACACTGTTCCTTTTCCAGTGTGAGTGAAGCTGGAAGCATGTTTATGGCCCATATGCTTGCCCTAATTTAGTTCCCCCCCCTCACTGGAAAAGCTGGCACTGAATTTGAACACTCCTCTTGCTCAAACTGCCAAAGTCACTGCATCCTTCTGAAACAGGATCTCTAACAAGGCTCTGGCCTGGAAAATAAGGGCTGAGCTGTCGCACAAGACAATTCCCATTTAAGTGGCCACTAATTATAACAGAAATAATAATATCACTTAGAAGAGACCACTAATGATATTTTTCTTTTAATTTTCAGCAATGAAGATGAAAGTAGTTTTGAGTTGATCTGAAGGTGTTACAGAGATACAACAGCTTGCATATAGGTTAGTCTTTGCATGAGAGTGGGAATTACGTGAGAGGAGCATATTTTGCTTTAATTCCCGGCCCTCTCCTGTTCTCACAAAGATGGCATCAAAGTTGGCTGTTGCTGCCCTCTTGCCTCTTCAAAGTGCACAGTTGCACTGTTTAGCATAAAACTGTCAGCATGAAGTTGATGTACTGGAGACAATGTCATTCTATTGGTTTTCCTGGATTTAAATTTCTGGCGAAAAATGGTATTTTTCAAAGTTGAGATAGATTACTCAAATAATAAGTCTAATTTATTTACAAGTCTGATTTATAGCAGAAATTATATCTTCACTCCACAATGCCTGCCTCAGTGGAGAAACAGGCTTACCTGGTCGAATTGCTGAGACTGGTAATATCCGATGGCCAATAAACTTCCCTCCTTCTTCATACACTGCCAGCCTCAAACAGGCCAGGGAAGGCAAAACCACCTAAACAAGGATCAGAAAAAGGTTACTAAACCATCCTACTAGGCTAAGGATCTTTACTACTACTTGAAAAATTGTGCAGCATAATCCATCTCGTTCTCTTACTTAATGCAAATCTACATAGAAATACATGTATTTTAAAATTGGCCATAAATAAGCCTTTATTTTTTTCAGCATATATGCCATTGAAAGGAAGAAAAAAAAAATCAACAATCCAAACCTCAGAGCTTCTCCAATTTATTTTCAACATTACTAAAAATAGTAGCCTATGCCTCCCTGAGCACAGAGGCAGTCAGGCACGATCGTTAACTAAATAGAGAAACCAAGTACACTAATTAGAAGTTCATTACAGAAGAAAAATGCTAGTGATGTTTCCAAACTTGAGCTCTGGCAGGCTGCCAAAGGAAAGTCATTCAGAGGGCCAAATATTCAGGGAAAGGAGCCCTACTCCTTAGAAAGCAGTGCTGCAAGTACCCACTACATGAACTTCTCTGTGAACTGCATTTGCTGGGGGAAATCTGAAATAAATTGTTTTACACACACCTCGACTCAGGAGATATATAGCTGTAGATATCTATACTTAACAGGGTGCTCAATAAGCAAAACCCAGAGATTCTGTTCAAATTTTGGCTTCAAGTGGGTTGCAGAGCACAATCAGACACTCACCTTGCACAGTCCTAAAACACGTTCAGTATTTTCTAAGCTCCTTCAAAATTCAGAGAATTCTGTCTGGGTGACACTGTTCAAACTGCGTGAGTAGCCCAGAAGGTTATGCCTCATCTAAAGTGGGTGGGATTTATGTGGTTTCCTCACCTGGGCTGTATTTATACAGCACAATGCAGTGCTGAGCACAGCCAGCAGGTCGTTAGGGCTGTATATCCACATTTGTCCTTCTCCCAGGATACCAGGAGGGCTGCTCAGCCAAATAAAAATGCCATGGCCATTCAGCTGAGCTGCTGCTGGGATCTGTGTGTGCTGATCCCATCACCACATCTGCTGCTTCCAGCTGTGCCAGGGAAACAACCAAGGTGACCTCAGACTCACTTATTTCAGCAGGAGCTGGCACAACCACAGCAGCCAAAGTTCAGCAAAAGCGGTTAACAGCAAACAGTTCAAGAAGTACCCATTCAGAATCTCTTCCCCTTCTTTCTAACAGGCCAAAAGTTTCAGTAAGCCACGGAAATGCCCCACTGGACAGAGACAAAAAAAGCACAGTGCCCTTGTGGGAAGCAAGTGTTACACACTGACCTTCTTAAACACTATGGCTTCCTCCTCCCAGACGGGATTGACTGCATTGCCTTGAGACGTCTTGGTCTTCAAGGCTTTTCTTCTGGTGTCCACAGGCAGGCCAAACATGTCCACTTCTACATAGGTACCGACTTTTTTATCAGACAGGAACTGGCCTGAAATAATCTGAAGCCAAAACAAACGAGGATCGTTAAGGGACCCCCTTTGGTGGATTAGGAAATGAGTGGCTGATATGCAGACGGGTAATTCTCATCAGTGATCAGACAGTATGCATTCAAAATAAAACCAAAACAAAGCTAAACCCACAACAAACAGAAAAAAAACCAAACCCACTGTTTGATTGCAGACACAGAAAAACAACTTGTGAGGCCTGGTTTCCTGTGACCCTGTGGTCCTGAATTCCCCTGCGAGCTATAATGTGGTTGAGATCATGCTGCTGCCCTTCCCTCAGCAGGAATACTCATTTGGATCTCATCCTCAGTCTGGCTGCCTACTCCCACAACACGGCATCTCTCAGAACTCCTAAGTTCTATCCAGTCTCAACAACAGGTTCAAAAAATGCTGGGGAAAACAAAAAAAATGGTATAAACAGCAGAGAAATTATAGCTGTGAGGGAGAAAAAAAAAATCCAAAAGTTGATATTCTAAGAAAGGCCCTTCACAGAGGGCGAGGGGGTTCACTAGGAAAGAAGGGTCTGCAACTTCTTCAGGAAGCTGAGGAGGCACAAGGAGAGTGCAGCAGCATCACTGTACCTTAACAAACTGAGGTTTGCCTAAAGCAAAGCTTAATCCATTCTCTGCTGCATCTTGCATGAGCACTGACATTATGACCAGCAGAGCCTTCCCTGAGCAGGCAGGAGCAGCTGGCATCTCTCCTGGATGCTCATTCCTGTTAAAAACTCTGTGCATCTCCTAATAGCCTTTGAATGACTTCCACCTCCATTTACTATAATGGCAGAAGAAAGTGCCTCTAAACCCCCAGGAGGGCACTGAAAGCTCCCACGATTACAGGTCACCACAAAAGGTCATCCCACACATCCTCCTTTGTTACTGTGCATGTCATCAGATTATTCCTTTATTCACATCCCTCCCAGCATGGCTCTGCTCCTGTCTGCAGCCTGAGAGGAGATGCTCGTTTGCTCCCAGTGAAAACAGGAGGATATTTTGCAGGTGGATTCCATAACACAGACACTGCTCTAATGGACAAGTCCATTAAAGGAGTGGCAGGACTTCAGGAAGCTGATGGTTTTATAACTGAGAGATAGACAGAGCATCAATTTGTCATCCCGTCATAGCCAACTCAATCTCTCCCTCTAAATATTCATGTGAGCAGTTCTCAGTTTGCAGGCTCCTGGCAGTCCTTGAACTTCATTAGAGGTCCTTCAAACGAAAAGCAAGCTGGCAATGAATTGCAGCTGACATTTATGGTTCCACAGTTCTCTGCTGGAGAACTGTCAGAGAACCACAAAAATTTATTTACACTAAACAGAGTGGTGTTATAGCTATTGCAGTCCAACCTCCCACTTCACAACAGCCTGTTTTAAATCCAGCCCTTTGTTACTAAACCCACAGCCCAACTGCTCTTAAACCCATCCCCTTCCCAATTCTGTGATGCTCCGTAATTATTTCTGTGGAAAAGAATAACACACAATAAAAATGCATTTATTTACCCTACAGCATGAAATGTGAGGCAGAATTTAAAAATTAAATGTCACTCCATGAAACTAAATGTATTTTGTTTTCTTGACTTAGTATAGCCATTTGCTAGGTCACTGCACAACAGAAATACAAATATATCTATGCTCTAATATTTTCATCGGATATTTTCCCCAGCTTTGTACATACCTTGACAGACAAGGTGTTGGCTACTATTCCATCCACTATACCTTCAGTAAATGGATCAAAGTGCTTGTCTGGTCTTCTCATGAACTCTGGCTTTAACCTGTACCCACTTTTGCCATTGTACTCATACATTCCCATGTTTATTTGCATAGACAAATCTAGGTGTTAAAAATATGGATAAGAATTACGTTCTGGATTGACAATGATTTTAAAAAGCAGTAAAATAACAACAATTACTGTAATTTCATACTGACTGTAACAGAAATGGTAAAAAGCTGTGGTAAAAATGTTAATTAGCAGCTCTAGAGTAAAATTCAATCACTGGACACCTTTTGATGCATAAAGCCTTTCCCACCCATGAATCAGAAACTGTATCAAAAGAACTGGACACGTACAGGTTTCAGAATGCAGAGAACAGCACAACTTACCTACAGTTTGGAAGTTAAGAGCAACCATTTGGCAGCCAGCGTTCCAAAAGACCTGTGGCATGTAGTTGGAAGAATCCACACGTGTCCCCTTGGGGTAAATTCGGCTCAGCTGCATTTTGTTGTATCTAAATGGTGAGCAGTTAAGATACAGAACACGTGGCAAAAATCCCTCTGCAGAGAGGTGCAACTGCAGTGTTGAATGCAGGTGTCCTTTGCAGAATGGCAGTGGGTCCCTTACTGGATCTCTGCAGCCATAATGCTTCCAGAGGGCCACAGTTTTGTAGGAGATATGATAAATATGGGGCAATTAAAGGTGCTGTTTGTTCCCGTATAATGGATCACGTTCATGAAGTTCCATTTATCAATTAGGGTTTCTAATTTAGGATTTTTAGAGGCCAGATAGCTGCAAACTGGGAATCTTCCTCTGAAGCAGGGAGAGATGTTCAGTTAGAAAGTGGTTTTCTGGAATGAGCATTGGAATTGGCCAATACAGATAGAAAGGATGAGTGTACAAGTTGTATAAATCTCTGAGATGAGAACGCGCTGCAGGTTATCTGTGGGAGTAGCTTCCCATTAAACTTACGTGAGGCACTATTTTATCTTGATCGTTCATTCTAAACTGCAGCCACGGTGAGAGATATTGAGAAACATCAAAAGGTCTAAACAGAATGTTCCTTAGCTTTTCTTTGGAAGTCATAAAAAAACCCCCCAACTATGTGGCAGTAAACCAGCTCAGAGTTCTCAGAAGCAGAGGTATGATGGTTACAAAAAAAGAAGTCAGACACATTTGGACAATTTGCTCACCATAACTTGTATCACTTCACACAGGATGATAAATTTAACAATGACAATACAAAGAATCAGGTCTTCAATATGTAGTTTATGCCTATTCCCTCTAGTCCTAGCCCACAGCACAAGGACTCATGACAATTTTTAAATTAGCTCATCAGAACTCAGGCCAATTAATTCATTTAGAAAAGACAGTCAAATTTACAAATTTCATTTATGCTCCCTATTTCCCCAGCTCCTGTCTCCAAATTTCCCAGACAGAGAGAGACTTAGAAAGCAGCTTTCTGAAAGTCAAGGATACTCCACGAATTCCACAGGAGACTTGGTCAGTTGCTCAAGCCCTTTGGTTTCCACAAAGGAAGACATTTCAAAACTTTTGTTGCGCTCTGGAAGTTCAAAGGGGAGATAAAATAAAACCAGGGACACGTTAGAGCAGGAAACGTGTGCGATACAAGAGCTGTGAACAACTGGTTTAGGCTCAGTCCCCTCATCCCATCTACAGCTCACCAGCTCTTTTCACCTTGATCCCAGCGGATTTACAGACAGGATGGTTTGTGCCAGCAGGAACCTCACCCTGCCCATCAGAGCTCCACCTGCACTCCCAGCAGCACTGCCCAAATGAAGGGCAGTGGTCCAGACTGCTGCTGTAGCAGCTGCAGACAACACTCAGTGCACACCCAGGGATCCCTGTTTGCGAAATCCGTGCTGATGTATCTGAGAGGCAGAGCCCCAAGCTCACATCTGCGACACAGAGGGGTCGTAGCAGCTTTCCGTGGGGCCCTGCTGGATCTCTGGCTTTTCTCTGCAGGCAGATGCAAGGGCTCTGAGCCAAGGGGAGGCTGCAGTGACCCCTGTCCGTGTGAGGCTGAAGCGAGCGGAGCACTGGCTGTGCCCACAGCGCCTCTCGGCAGCTCGGTGTGTCAGGGGAAGGTCACGGCTGTCCCAGAACCACGGAAACACTGCCATCGGACCAGCCCTGAGGTGCATCCCTGGGGCCCAGCAGCCCTTCAGACCGACCCCCCAGCTTCATGTGAAACTTGTATGACCTTTTTCATTTGGTCAGGCTTTCTGATCTGACAGTGGTGAAAAGCTCCTCCTGAGCATTTAAGTCAGTAGGACTAACTACTAATTTGTGTATCATTTTTACTCACCTTTGGCTGATGTGGGCACAGCCTTTCAGTGTACCCAAGCATCACGTGCAGCAGAGAGCCTAAGTCAAGGCCCTTCTAAGCTTTTTCCTTTACCCCTTTGTACAGAAGGTAAGGATTCCTGTAAATCAACAGCTTTCCACATCATCCCTATCAGCTGTGCAGGTTGCCTAAAAGGGGCCACAGCACTGGGGGTCACATCCATTTGTTATCTCGGCACTGATCTCTTTAAAAATGAGGGAATCAGTGCCTGTGTTGAAGTAAGATCTCTCTAGCCCCACCACTTCATTGAAAGCAGACAACAGGGCAGAGAAACCTGGCCTCATCCAGTTTTAGAAGGAATTGTGCTGCAGCAATCCAGGGATGGCCAGGAGGCCGGCCTGGCCAGCTCCTTGGAGTCAAACTGCGAAGCTGCAGGAGGGGGATAAAACCGAACAAAAGTACTTGTCTTGCAGAGAGAAGCAGGACAGAAACAGGTGGGCACTTTCCTCACAGGAAGCCAAAAAGGAAGCAGTGGATCCAAAGAAGTGAAGAACTGCATGGTTTGGGCCAACATGAGAGGAAAATGTGCTGCCAGCCCGTGAACTACAAATGATTCTCAGTGCATGTTGGAGCCAGAGCATGAACATGGTGTTCCAAAAGTGATTCTCTCCCTCCAGGAGAGCTGAGACTGGGACTTTATTGTGGTCTCTATTTCTAATTAGCAGCCATCAAGCTACTGCTTTATTCACAGCTGTTATCCTCTAATGGTGAAAGATTCCTGGGGTTCCCCAGAGCCTGCTCTCCTACCACTCCCTCTTCCGTTCCAACACACAATATCCTTTCTTTCTCCAGACTGTTCCAGCCAGCTCGCTTCCATCTCAGTTCCTCATAAAGACACTGAGATTATTCTTATTCCAACTTTCCCCTTACTGATGGGACAGCACTAACCATACACATACACTGGATTTATTCTATTTAGAACAGAGATGTTGAATTTGCTGTAGTAATAAACTCTTCTCTGTCAGCCTCGTCTTAAAGTAGAGCATCTGTAAGAAACCACAACTGGTATCTGCTAGAGGATTCAGTTATGAACTGTCCTGGGCTTAATCAAAGTCCTAATTCAAGTAAGATCAATTATTTCCTTGTAGTATTTGGAGAGCATTAAGGAACCTGTTCTTTGCAGAAAAGACTGTGCAGGAGAGGCATTTCTCTCTACTGATAGATGCTTATACCATGCTATCTTGTCAGCAGGAAGTCACTACAGAGTGAACAGAAAACTCATTGAAAAGCTGTCTGAAAAACATGGAAAAATACAGTTACAGCTACTTGCTGTCAGAGAAAGGGGACATTTCTAGTGAGGGCAATCAGGGGACTGGTACAGATCCACAGCTATTCAATATTTCTGTTAACAAGTTGGATGCAGGACCAGAAAATGCACTTTTAAAATGTAGGAATGACAGAAGCAGTGAAGTGCTGTGGAGGCCAGGATCACAAATACAAACCAATCCTGAATTAGAAAAGATTAAATTAGAAACATGCTGTAACAATGAAACTGTATAAAAGATCAGTACAGATCTCTACAGTTCTGGATCTCGTACACTTGAAGTCAAGTAAACAAAAGTAAAATTTCTGGGAAACAACTGGATAGGCAGCAAACTAAAAACCAGTCCTAATCTAATTCCTTCTTTATTCAGGTGATTCTCACTGAATTTAACGAAGATCCAGCAGTTAGGCCAGGCCAGGACTAAGACCAGAACCCACAAGTCATGCTTTAACCAGCCAGCAACATTTACCACCTGAGGCCTCTGGCTTTAATGAACAGGCCACGTGTTCCACATAAGGACTTCTTCCGACACCAGAAATTTAACTCCTTAATATTATGAGATCACAGACACAGCATGATTGATCAAAGGTCACATCAAGACTTAAGATAAAAACCTGGACAGCGGTAGTCCTCTACAAAACACAAAATTTGGAAAGGCACAGGCATGTGAACAGAAAAAAAACCAAGGCAATTTTATAGCAGCTGCATCAACTTGTCCTGCTAGGATTCACATGGCTTCCTTTCCAGAAGGCACATCTCCTTCCCACTGTGTTCTTGTAATTCTCATTAGAGCTAAAGGAGATTACAAACATCCAAAGGGACACTACTCTAGGGAACGAGCCCAGCTCCCTGCATGATTCTGTGACTGCCTGTGTGTGTGTGTCTGTATAAATACCCACATACAAATGAGCAGTTGGTAACTTCTTACATGTTTATTATTCATCACAAGTAAATGCAGAATCTTGTACAGAGACATGGACTGAGGCAACAATTACCTGTCCTCTGCCAAGGCCACCACGGATGTGGAATAAATTGAAGTCCTATACACTTCTTAAACTAAAAAGCGCCAAAAGCACATAAAAACCTGTCAAAACAAAGTGAAAAAGGGCAGGCAAACAGTAGGAGGTGGTGCACCAAGAAAGGAAAAGATGCTGCAGTGTTTACTGAGGATGCCACTGAGTGAATTCCTAGCAAGGCATCTTCTGTAAAAGTCAGCAGGGGATGAAATTATGGACTTTCTATACAATACACTGAGGCAGGGAAGAGTGAATTTGCATATGGGAAAGGGCACACTCTGCTTCCTCTGAATCTTCTGTAAAAGTAGCAGAGGCAAAATAGAAGCAGGAATATTTATGACCACCTCTCTCCAGCTGCTTAAGTTGCTCTTCAGTCACGGGCAACAAAGGCAACGTAAGCACATAATTGTCAAAAATGGTTTTGAAATGCCAGCCTGTTTACTGGTGATGAAGTTGGGTATTTCGACCAAAAAGAGGTTCCAAAATAAAAGTGGATTTATTTGGCTGGATACCGAGGGAACACTCTCTGTCTGTGTGCCTGGATCTGACTGAGAGGCAGCCAAGCAGCGTTTCTCCAGAACTTTCTGCCAAACACTTCCTAGGTAATCTCCAGTGTAAGGTGCTGCTCGCGCTTAGCTTACTTACTTTTTGATACTTCAAACGACTCGAACTTCACGGGCTGAATGTAGTTCACCAGGTTAGACATCTCCTCTGTGGCCATGGCCTCACTGCCAGCAGTACCCTGGGGCAGAGAAGGGAAAAGGCTGCAGCTTGGATCTGTCCATCGGGGGCCACAGCCATCACAGCCCAGTTCTGTGTCAGCTGTGGTATCTTCCCCTGACCCTGGCTCAGTGAAGGCAAAGCTTCACGTAGGGAGTATCACACAGTAAAGAAGAAAATTGGCCATAAAATGTAAATTTGACATTAAACTGCTGCTGTATTCATTCTTTTTATGTGACTCCTAGGGAAGGGACTGCACTACCTTCACACAGGCACAGTGCTGAGTATATTTATATAAAGTACTGCTGGATAAGTAATAAATACAGTTCTAAGCTTTGGATATCAACTTTTTTCCTCTAACAATGCCCAACACACCACACGCAGCCACCTAAAAAGAGATCAGCCGTGGTGCTATTCGTTCCTTATCTTCAGAAAATTAAAGTACAAACAAACAAAGCAAAGACGTGCTTCCAAACCCAGATCAACAACCAGCTCGGGAAAGCTGGTGCTGTGCTTCCCGGTGTTCTGCCTCCCTCTCTCCACTGGATGGCAGCCCCACTCCTGGTAACATGCTCCAAACCCGCTCCAGCTGGAACCGGCCCATCCCCACCACACACATCTACACCCTTACTTCATCCATCGACGACTTCTTACAGTCATCGTCATAGTCGTCATCATCGTCACTCTCCATGTCTGCTTCTCCTGGAAAGTTTCAAGCAGAAGATAATTACTGGCTGAAGCAACAGTTGCAATTACCAGCGACAAATTCAACAAAGATGTGCAAGTAGCAGTGCTTGAGGGAGACTTGAGTCGTACATGTGCTTTTTGTCACTGCACAAATCAAACACACCGGTCTCGAGGGATTCATGATTCATCCCTCTTCGGCACTGATTTAAGTTCTTATTGCCCAACCGAGCTAAAACTCTTCCTCTGCAGCTGTCTGAAGCTTTGGAAATCAGCACTGACAAAAGACTGCAGTGTGTGGATACAGCATCACAAAGTGCTCTGGAGAGATGTTCCCATGTTTGGGGCTGATGTGAGTTCGAACTCCTGCTGTTGCAGGAGCCGTGCAGGACCTCCTGTGGATGCCTCACCTGCTCCAAGGAGCTCACACGCAACACCACGGTCGGGGTGAAGAAATCCCACAGGAAAACTGATGAGGTTCTCATGTGCTGTGCTATCAAGGGGGCTGCTCAGCAAAATCCATCTGCTCTGAACGTATCCCAGTCCGTGCACTGAGGCAGAGCAGCTGGGAGGGGCTGGCACAGGAGCCAAACTGCAGTGAGTGGGCTCCGATTCCCCTGGCTGATCACTCTGGTGTTCCTCCGTTAGGGCTCCGCTGGCACAGCTCAGCTGCACCGGCTGAGGGCAGTGTGAGCCAAAAAATGTGAACAGCCATGCAAAAGGCTCATCCTTTCCCCGAAATTGTAAAGGGGACCAGATAAAACACATTCACTGCCTTGCTCCCAATTGCGGTGCACTCATCAAATTCCTCTGGGCAAGACACAAATTCTTTAATGTTAATTAACGGATGCCTCCCCTCGCCTCCAAAATGTTGCATCAGAAATTAAACCATTAAGGAACACCAAGCTTATCTTTCTCTTTAGAAACCCCCCCCGAGGGCCTGGCTGTCATAAAGTATACATTGTGCATCTGAAGAAGACTCTGGAAAAGAAGATTTAACTTATACTGCAGTCACCAATCCACACCTATAAGACTGACAACTCTCCCTACAGATTTTATTCCACAAACTTTTCAGTTTGTTTCAGCAGTGGCAGCAAAAAAAATCTGACTACTGTGCAGCATTCCCAAACTCTCCAGAGAATGGTAATTCAGTCTCAGTTCCTCCTGTCAATTTAGGGTCTAATCCAAAGCCCACTGAGTCAATAAACTGCTCTTTGTTCCAGCAGGCCTTGAATCATGCCCAGTGGGACCCTTCTGAACATGGAGAGCACATGAGTGTGCCTTTCACAACCAAATGATGACTACCCAGGCTGCATTTCCTTCCAGATGCAGATGTTGAAATGTCAGGCTTTTATTCATCAACACATTTCTTCCCGAACGTGTCCATTGAAGAAAACATGATTGCTCAACAGGCTCCAGGGATGGCTCCAGGAACCTCAGCACAGCGCACAGAGCCAGCCCAGCTCTCCCAGGGTTTGCAGTGACAGTCTTTGGATGGGAAGCTTTCAAATGATTTCAGCAGACTGGCAAAATAACACTTTGCACAACCCACAAAATGGGGGATGTGGGCAGATTCCAGCCAACTTGCAGTGCTGAGATACCAGGTACACATCAGCCTGTTCTCGCTGGAAGTGTCCAGGGGGGAAAGTATGCAACACATTACTGGTTTATTTGAAAACACTTAACAGGGACACTCCCAAGGAGATCAGAACTCATTTTCAAGTTCTGCATCAGACAGCAAGACCGGGACAGGATTGCAAACACAGAATAAAAATGAGTGGTTTAGGAAGTGTGACTACATCTGCATTGCCTTTCACCCAGTGGCAGGGTCCTGTGCTCACACCCAGCCCTCCCTGTCACACTGCAGGGACACAAAGCCAGAGCAAGCCTTGGCCAGGCTGAGGAGATATGGACACCTTTGTGCTCACTGATCCCACTGTGGTGGCAGGATCAGCTCCCTGCCATCCCTGCCACCCCTTCCCAGGAGGGCACAGGCACTGAGCACAAGTCAAGTCCAGCATGCATGTGTGAGCTTAAAAGACAATTACCACTCCTCAGCAGCACAGCAGATACTGAGAGCCTCATAAAACAAAAGGTTAGGCAGGGCTTGAAATTCAGAGGGATCTGGTAAACTGCTTTCTCAGACCCCTTCAAAGTAACAGCCAGCACGGATTATGAATGTGGTACTTGCTGTGCAGCTTGTTAGCTCTGTAACATTTAGGTAGCCACCAGCACCTTGGGGGAGGGGGGAAACCACCTTTTTTTCCACTGTATATCAGCGCTTGCTGATTTTTAAAAAGGAAAAAAATAAACTTTATTCAGTTGGCTAATGGTTATTTTGCTTTGTAACAATGGGCCATGGCCTCAGCTGGCAAGCAGCAGTAATGCACTAATGCATTTACATACACCCAGCGTAAACCCTTTTATCCTGTTTTCTATTTAAGCATCAGGAAATCTTGGAGCCAACTCTACCCCCTCTCTGTCTTCCCATCATTCTTCCCTTGCAGCACCCACTACTCTGACAAAAAACATCATCCTATCAGTAAGAAACTCACAATCTGCTTGGAAATTTAAATAGAGTTCAATTAGCAAGTTTTAGCTACTTTCAGTATGTGCCTGCAGAACTGCCACTGCTCTTTCTGCACTGTAACAGAACTTGGAAAATTGTATTTACTTCTGCTCATTGTGCAAAACCAGCCAGGTCTAAGCTGCTTGTTTGCCAAAACTACAATCCCTTTCACAGGTGTTATCTCACAAATTAGTCTTTCTGCTTTGTCAGCTTTGCTGCACTTTTAGGAGGAGTTTTCTCCACTGACAGACGTGCCCTACTGAAGTTATTTTTACAGCAGGTTCATGAGCATCCTGCAAGGTATTGCACAAGGCTCATTTCAGAATTCTTTAATTATCGCTACTGTATCACTTTTATATGGTGTGTCTTACAAACATATCAAAGCCTGGTTCACTTGGGCTTCAATCTGACCTCAAGCAGTGTAAGATGCTGTCAGCTGAAGTACCAATCTCCATATTTTTTGCAGTGCTGCGAAAAAACTCATTTGGAATCTCAAGAAGACTGAATCAGCACAACTTCCTCCTGGAGATCAGCAGCAGCTCTGACAGGAGCTACACAGTCCAACAGAGCTATTTGAATAACATGCCCAACTTGCCAAATGTAAAGATTACATCAAGGTTGGAGCGGTGAAACACTTCACATTAAGAATCAGGCTTCCTTCAGCGAGTCTGCAGTTGCATTGCTGCAGAAAGAAGCTGGTGCTGGGTACAGAGGAGCACAAATGCTCCAGCATCACGTGCTGCTGATGCTGAGATGCACAAAGGAACGAGGCAGTGAGAAGAAGGGTGTCTTGGTGACTGCTGAGCTCTGCTTCTCACTGGGTCTTGCCACACGGGTCTCATTAAATGGTGATTTTTTTTTTTTCCTTAAATGTTCACCGACAGAAAACTGGCACCTGATTTCCAGAAACACTGCATCCTCACAGCTCTAAGCTGCAGCTGAAATCTCCGGAGCTGTGCTCTGAATAATTGAAAATTCAAAGTATTCTTGAAAAAATGAGATCCTGGGTGTTCCCTGTCAGTTATCCTTAAACTGTTCTTAAGCTTTGCCAGATTCCTCTGTCCTTAGATAAAGATTGGCTTAATTTTATTTCCCTCCCCACAGGTGCTGTTCAGATAACTGCACTGCTGCTTGGCAAGAGCTCACGCTCAGCCCGGATGACCCCACAGAAATTCCCTGAGGATGCTGTATCTGGGATCAAGTACTGAATACCAGAGGGAGGGAAAAGACTGACTGACTGCATTCTCCCAAAGAGGCACCAGCTGCCCTCAAGGAGCAACAGGGGCTGACACCAGGATTACAAGCAATGCATTCTGGCAGTCACGGCTGAACCAAGTGACCACACCAATCCTGCAGACTCAGTTCCAGCGTTTTGCTAATTTGTAAGTGTTCATCTGCATAATCAGAGGCTGTTACAGAGGTGACACAGACATAACATCCACAGTTAATTTGTAAAATTACACACCCTGTTACGGGATTGACCCTCCTGACTTGAAACAGCATCAACATCTACATTCACAGCCCAGGTCCTTTCCTAGAAAAGCTCCCAGAGAGGCTCCTGAAAGACAAAGCTGTTGCCCTCGTGCAAAACCAGGCCCTGAGAAAGCAAAAGCCATGTACTTTGCCACTGGTTCTCACTGTGTGCTGCCAACAAAAATGCAGAGTTAAGAACCCAGAGCTGACTTCAAATGTCGGAAAACCATTTGGAACACATGCCTATTTTCCTGCTGCCTGGGATTTGTCTAAAGCAAATCAAGAAAATAGTGTGAAATCATCCCTGACACCAGGATGAATCTTCCTTTGAAATGCAGGCCCTTTTCACAGTTTCTTAAAAACAACAGTTGAAAACTCTTTCTTTGCTTCTAATAGGATAAACAGTGTTATCCACAAATGAAGCAGGATTTCTTTCTTTTTAATTCAGCTTGAGGCAAAACTGCCAGGATGAAAATTTTCAGCTCAATTAATCAAGAGTTTAGAAAAAATTACAAACAATGGGAAAAAAGTTTTTTAATGGCAAATGGTAATGAACTTATACTGCAGAAGAGCTTTCAATGTGCTCTATGATTATTCTACTTCAGGGGCATAAATGCCTATGCCTTTAAGAATCCAAAATTTCAGCCTTGATAGGAGAAGAAATTCCAGCATGCACTCCTGGATCAATGACACTTAGTGCAGTTTCCTGCTGAGCAAGGCCCACACTCGTGTACCTGTACCTTGCTAGAGCACTGTCAGTGGGCTGAGTTATAGCTGTAATTAAGCATTTGTGTTTTAGGAGATGAGTATTTGCAGATTCAACTCATACCTGCTCCGGGGGAGGAAGGTTCAAACATACTGGATGTATCACTGCATGTGTTGGAAGCCTGCTCTGACAGCTTCTTTTTCGCACTTCCATCTGCTGACTTATGTGACTTCTTCTTATTCTTCACCAGGATTTTGTACATTAAATCCATGGGGCTTGGAAGAGGAACCCCAGCTTCAAGCTTGTAGGGGAAAAAAAGAAGAGAGGTTTGTTAGAACTAAAAGAAACAAGCTTCTGGCAACTTCTTAGGGTCCACATGGCACAGGATGGTTTTGTAACCTCCGTGAGCCCCATTAAAACGAAATGGGTTTTGCACAAGACCTTAAATAAAACAAGGCTACTGAGGGCACTTAAGAAGAAAAATGCTTTATGAGATGTCTACAGTAATAACCCAAAATAAGTATTAGTTCAAATATGAAAGCCTACATTATAAAATGAGGATCAATTGCATTTAGAAGATTACAATTCACTATAGCAGGACAACCTCTGCATAAAAAATGACGCTTAAGTCACCAACAGCTCACGTTGCTTAACTCCCTCATTCAGACTCTGTTTTGAGAGGCTGTATATGAAGAATGAGACAGGGCTGAAACACTTCACTAAAAAGTCACTCAGACATCTGGGATCTGACAAATCCCAAGCCACATTACCGGGTATTTTTCCAGTGGATCCATAAGCAATGCGTCTCCAAATATTAATCTGCAGTACTCTGCCATTTTTGCCTGCTGTTTGGGGCTGAGGGGAAGAAAAGAAAGAAAGAAATGAGTTCTACTAATGCTACAGAGTGAAAGCAGCAGTAATGGAATATTTAATAGGCCTAAACTAGATATAATTTCCCACTGCAATTGCTGTGAGTTTTTTAGAGAGACCTAAATATATCATTCAATTATTTTGATTCCTCTGATAGAGTTTATCCAAAGGATCACACATGAGGTAAAGGCACTGGTCAACTGAATAACAGTGAAATAACTGTAACATGAATTTGCCTCTTTCAGGTAACGTTTTTATTCAAAGTTTAAATACTTTTCCCCTTCCATTACTGTATACACATGCCTGGCATTCTTCTCAAATACCCCACCATCCCAATTGGATTTTATCCTTTTGGTCAAACCTGACCTAAGGCATAAAACCCCAAACCAGTTACCCAGAAAAGAGTCTCCAGTGCAGGTGTCCTAAATTTCCCAGGCCAAGGGAACCCCTGCCCTCTCTCAGAGACCTCTGTGTCTCTATAAAGCACAGCCACACAGAAGAAGGGGCAGAAGAATTACTTGGGCTGGGTTTGTCCCAAAATCTAATTTGGGTATGGGGTCAAATTCCTTTTTTAAAATTTTTTAATTTTGTCTAAAATCAGATACAGTGTCAAATTTTATCACAGCAAATTACTTCAGCAGTTTTCACGCCACCCTCTAGAAGTAAACTGCACCTCAGTAAACTCTCCCTGTAGTGAATTTTCCCAAAATACAAGCAAAGGATGGAACAATTCCTGCATATCAGTGACAGAGGTTTTAGACTCAAGACAGGTTAGGCAGCTCAGAAATATTACTCAAATCATCTGAAAATGCAGCTCGGTGCTTCAGTCACTTTCTAATTTTAGACACTGTGTATTTTTGTTCTGTGTGCCTGTTTAAAACCTGTAACATCTGAGCTTAGGTCTCCTCCAAAGAGTCTCTTTTTTGATATTCTGCTGGGAAGCCTCGCTTAAAGGAGGGATTATATCCCTCCATAGGACTTCCTCACCTATGGCTCATTATGGCAGACACAGGCACGGGGTAAGCTGTTGTGTTGCCATGGAGCTCTTTTTTTAAGACAAAATAGAGCTGGGTATATATAGGAAAGACAGAAAAGGGCTCGTTTTTCTGTTGCAAACCAGGAGAGGAACCATCGCCACGCCCCTGGTTGGTCACCAGTTCACTGGGCAAGTGTGGCCAGAGCAGGGCTCAGATAAAGGCATTTGGGGCAGAAATACCACTTCCCTGGGATCGGCACTCTGGATGCCCCTGGAGGCAGAGATGGGGTGAACCAGCTGTCAGCTCAGTCACTGACCACATACACTGCGAGAGGGCTTTCCCCTGCCCCCCAAGGCCAGTTCAAACCCCCACAGACACTCCTGGATGTGCCTTTGGCACGCAGGCTGCTCTGCGGGGAAAGAGAAAAGCCACTTTTGGCCGAGGATGGGAAATGAAGAGGAAGACAAGCGAGGCAGTGGAGCTGGGAACCCACAGAGGAGAGGGAGATGGGAAGAACAGATCAGGATAAGAGAACTGTGTTGGCTACATGTAGCCACCGGCTGCCAAGGGAAACAAAGGCACCTCACTCCGGCAAGCAGCGGGTATGGAGGAGAAAATCTATGGGTCGTTAGAAGGAATCTTATTCCACTCTTCTCCACCAGTGTGCATCTTGAATTTGCTCTTAGAATCCAGACAGTTCAAAGCACATCCCTTTGAATCATCTCAGCACATTTATTGAAACCGTAGTAATTAGATGTGACATCATCATATTTAAATGGGCACAACTCCAAAAAAACCCCCCTTTCTATAAGAATCCAAAAAAAAAAAAAAAAAAGGGGTAAGTTAAATCCAATAAATTTCCAGCTATCATCACAGCTAGAACAAATTCTTCTGCTCTCCTGTGTTTAATTACATGTTTACCTCAATGAGAGCACAGCGAGAACTTTCATTTTTGCAAACGAGAAAAATGTAATGCAACATTATGTTGGTTCAGTGTATAAATTCCAATGTCACTGCATCCCAGAGGCAGAAAGAAGGAAAATTATGGGAAAAACTAATGGGTTCTAATGCTGTATAAAAAGCCTTGTGGTAGTAAATAAGGCCAAAGGAGGAAAATCTCGACACTACAAAATTACTTGTCTTTGTGAACTGGACTATATGTACAGATATTTTTATCAGCTCCTAAGAGGAAATTAAAAAATATTTTAAGAGTGCCAGCTTTTAACTGTGTGGTAGTTTTTTTGGTGTTCTCCCTAATATATAAATCTCTGTATGCTTTGTTGCAAGAGAGTTCATTAGTCATAGTGGATTATGTATCACTACTAAAGTGTTTTTAAAAGTTGGAATACCAGTCACTTTTTATTTTCCCTTCTTTCAAAGTTATGAACCAGAGGAACAGATGAAACACCAACTTTTCTGCATCCATATGTTCCCCTGACTGTGTTAGGAATTAAAAAAACCCCAGGTACTCCTTGGTCCACCTCTATTTTATTGGAAATTCTCTCAGCACTCATGTACTGCAATGAAAGTTGATAGCCTGAAAAGAGCTGACTGTATCTGCTCTGTGGTTTTTGCTGTGCAGACACGGACAGGCAGCACACAGACTGATTATATGTGCCCCCCAAAAACCTGCCAGGGCAAGGGGAGACAAAGTGGCAACACGATACCTGGAGATGTGGAAATACAAAGGAGATCAAGGAATGTTTTCACTGCCATCCCTGCATTGCTTGTACTTTGTTTTACTGTGTTTACACTATGCCTGTTAGGAAGGTCAATCACAGAGCTCTTCTGGCACAACTGCACAACCCCTGCTCCCAAACATTCCATTTTTATCACTCCTGCAGAAATACTTCCTCTGCCTAAGACAGGGGCACAGATGCTTCCCAGAAGAGTCTAAAATAATTCAAAGTGTAGGATGAAGAAGTGATAAAAAAAATTCCTGTTAATATTTGAAATAACAATTCCAGCAAGAAACCAGCACTATGAATAACTGTAATTAAATTTAATCTTGGAAGCAATCTTCTATGGATACTGCTGAAGGATCACTTAACCTTTTTGCTATGTCATCAGTGCCTTTCTAATTATAGACTGTCTGCTTTCAGATTTGCAGATTGCTTATCTTCTTGCAAGCCCAATTTCAAACCTCAAGGTCTCCTTGAGGTCTTTTCAGCATTTTCAGGGCACTCTTCTATTTTTTGACAGAACCACATCTTTTCTTAGTCCTGTCTTCTTTCAGTGTGCACGTTTTGACTTCGGTATAAACCACGGCAATACATAATGTTTTATGTAGTCTAAAAGTTGTGTGTTTGCCTCTTTTTCTACAACTTTCACTGTATAAAAACAGGTAAAAGAGAATATACTAACAGAGGAGTGAGAGTAAAGGACACGAAAATTCTTCACAGTGCTGAAAAGATGTTGGAGAGGAGCCCTTCTAGGAAACACATCAAAAGAAAGCAAAGGAGGTGATTTACACAATGTGCTAATAACCATATTTTTGTTTAAGAAGCCAACGCCAAAATTTCTAGGGGGCCAGAATTTCACTGGTCGTTCACAAAATGACTTCTTGTAACTTGAAAATCAGAAAAAAAAAAAAAAAAGTGGTCACCCAGAAGCAGGGACTGATGAAATGGGATTTTTTTCTATAAAACCTATCAGCACTTTTTGTTAACATTTAGGGCAAAGTCCATCTCTGGGATCTAGGAGTAAAACAACATTCCAAGCAAATGAGAAGACAAAAAGGAGCATTCCATGAAATTAGGTGAAGGTTTCTGTGAGTGGCATGGCTGACTGTAGATTTCTCGAGCAACCAGTGAAGGGATGAGAGGATCACTGTAGCAGGCAGTAAAACAACTAGAAATCACTTTCAGCCAAAGCAAAAACCAGAAAATGTACACACTGAGGCTGATGATCTACTGCAGGAAATAATAAATACCAATAGAGCCTCAGAAGGAGAAAATATTTGGTACTGGTTTTGCGAACTTGCTGTGCTAAAAACCTGTCATAGCAAGGCATGGGAAAGGACATCACATCAGGATAATTCATTATTCCATGACTGGAGATTTCTGGAGAGAAGGGTCCAATGGTTTCTGTGGGGCAAACTGCAAAGATCAGAGTGAAACAGCGGTAGCCCTGTTCCCTCCTTGTCACATTCCTGCAGCATCACACCATCTTTAATTTGGACAGGGTTTCATCTTACAGTTTTTAAGCCACTGTTGTACGTGGCTTACCCATCTGACAGGAGTTTATTTTATAAATTTCTTTCCCTTCTTTAATTTCCTAAAATAGAAGCAGATCACCCTGGAATAGCTGGAAAATCAGTTAGCCCTCACCCTCTTCCTCTGCAAGAAACAAAAGTGCCAACATCTTTTCTGATTTGTCTCAAATCATTCATAGCTGCCACCCAAGATTGCTTTTTGCTTCACATTAAAAAAAAAAAAAAAAGAAAGAGTTTCTCAGTCCAAATTGGCCCCAGAAGTGTTGAAAATGTTTTCATTCAGTAAAAAAAAACACCAGAAGGGAAGAGGCAGTTCAAGTTAAGGTACGTGTTATGTGCCAGTGTCACCCCACTTTGAACCTTGTGGTCTCTGCATTCAAAACCAATGTCAAACTTAAAAATAAAGAGAAAAAAGAAAAATTAGAACTATGATATAGAGCACTGGGACAAAGCCTGAAGTTTTTCTCTTCTTACACAGAAAAACTGTCCTTTCTTTGTAACTGAAACAAAGAAAATGAAAAAAAACATCCACAACTTATGCAAACTGTTATTTTTTGGCAGAAACAAACAGTTCCTGGCCATCCACATCACCTATTTTGCAATCCTAGAAATCCATGGTTCTGGCCTCTACTTCTACCCAGGAGAAACAGAACGAATTCTGTGCTCAGATTATGCTTCTAGCACAGAATAGGGTCTCCAGCAGGTGAAATCCTGACCTGTTTTCTTGGCAGCATTGCTACATCCCAGCAGGACATACCGAGACTGTAAATTTAACAAAATACATTCCCAATTACTCAAACTCTCTCACAGGAAAGGTCCTCGTTCAGGCAGGTTTTTAAGAACACGTCCAGTTCATCCTGATCGTCTCGGTTACTTGGGCTGATCTTACAAGTTTATTTTTGGGTAAGGGCTGTTGTTGGTGTCCTGTAATGAAGTTGTCACAAATGGGTCCACAATTCCATGCCTAGACCTTATAAAAAAACGAAACACCATCCGAGGAAACGCGGTAATTACTTACGAATCCACATGGTTTTCAAAGGAAAGGAGGATTGGAAAGGGCGACGTCTTAAACGCACATTCAGCAATAGCTTCTATTACTTCCTAAAGAATCAAAATAAACACAGTTACAAATTTATGCCTCTAAAGAAACAGTGGTTTAATCCCTTAAGGCACTAAAGACCCAAGGAGGTCTGAAATCATTCCCTGGGATCAGACCTTTGTCTCTGAACATCCCAGGGAGCTCTGGATGCGCTTTTGCCACAACCAGATTTTTCAACCCGAACCGTAATCAAATCTCAAAAACGCCTGACGGGTCTCCAGCACCACATTCCTCCAGAAATGACTTATGCCTGCCAAAATCAATAGTTTAAATGTAAAACCCGGTCTCTGCGTGGAGCTGTTCCGTGCCTGGAGCCACGACTTTCATGTCCTGTTCTGCATTACAATAAACATGCTCTGACAAAGGCACATCTCCTAACCATCAGCACAAGCACGGATCCATAAAATCCTCAGTTACTCTGACTCACAAATTTTAGTTCCCTCTTTTTTTTTTTTTTTTTTGATGGCAGAAATCCCTTCAAGGCAAAAGAAGGGAGAAAAAAGAAAAGAAAACATCACTCAGATCAAACAGTTGGCTGTGCAGTCATCATCAAACAGAGCACTCAGGAACCGAAACTTCCGTAAAGTTTCCTTTCAGCTCTGATGGAAAGTGGAAATCCAGTAAAAAAGTCATTTGCTAACGCTGATTTTAGTGGGCTGCACAACATAGTAGTGCTCTCACTGTTACAAATGATGAAATGTCTCCCCCTTGGAACACAAATCTTTTTTCAGAAGAACATAAAACACCGAAGACTTTCCACATGCATTGCTGTCAAACTCTGGAGTTTACAAGAGCCTCACACTCTGGTGTTTATAAGAACCCATAAGGATGACTAAAACCTAAAAGATCTATTTATTTTAAACAAGCTTTCTCTGGGGATTCCTTTTATTCTTTCTCTGCACTTTTAAAGGCTCCATTGAGGAGTGCAACACCAAGAAATCCACTTCCTCTGGAAGAAGCTGAGCTTCTGGTACCTTCTTGTGGTACATTTATTTTCAACTGCCTTCCCAGCTGCAAAAGGGGCTGAAGTCCTGCATGAGTGGGGAAAATAACCTAGAAGGGCAAACACTGATGAGGTCTGGGGATGACAAGCTCAGACACTGGTTCAGTGGAGAAAGGTCTGTGCTGGTGATTCGGGCTTGCACTGCCTTCAGATGTCAAGGCAAATGCTCCAAGAGTGAATTGGATGCTCCACTGTGAATTGATTCACACACTTCTGACACATTATTTCACTGCCATTTCGCTCCTCCCCAGCCAAGCAGAACACTTGGGAGTGTTGAAAAGAGATCAGCATTTTTCCATGGGGAGAAAAACACGGGCTCTGAAGCGACAGATGAAATATTCCTGAGGAGGTTTAAAATGCCTTCCACTACTTCTCCTGCAAACACAATACCTAGGGTTCGACATATGAATATCCAGGCATAATCCTCCTTCCTGCTAATGATCCTTTCAAGAATCAGATTAGCTTTATTTTAAATTCCTGCTCATGACCAAAGCAGTTGAGAGCCATCTTCCTTAATTAAAGGACTTGCAGCAATCAAACCCCACGCCTATAAACATAATTGGCTGCACATAAACACAACTAGGAAGTCAGTAACAAACATGCAAGAGGGCTGAGGGCTGTTTCACGTTTTCCTGTGATTAACTCCATCAGTGAAAAATCAGAGAAAAGAAGTTGAAAAAAAAAAAAAAAAAGGAGTGTTCTGATGCAAGTGGAATTTGGTGTTGTGTTTGTGTGGCAGTATTGTTTGGTTTTCCTCCTAAAGGAAGGCACTAGAAGACAAAAAAACCTCAGCCCAACAACTCAGGCTTCAAGTGTGGGAGACACCTCAAAGCTGTGGCCAGCCCAGAAGCCACAGTTAATCCCTGTCACATAACCTAAGTCACTAATGGACGTTTTCCCACATATTCCTGCACACAGCTGAGTCGAGAAATGCGTTTCCACGGTGAGTTAGTGCCTCAGACAAAGAAGAATTATTTCTTCACACTTCAAAAATGATGCCCTGATATATCATTATAAGCTGTGCTGACTCCCAGTCTTAATGCCACAGGGAAACACCTCCACCGTGGCCCCTCTAACACCTTGGATCAATAACATCTTTAGGAATAAAAAGATAACAATGTAAGTTTACTGCTAAGGGTCCAGTATCTGCCTTCTGTTACAGAAAAAGGAAATGGAAGACGAAATTCAGTAATACAGACAACGTGTCAGGGTTTGAATGGCACAAATATCCCCTCACAATCTCCAAAGATACTAATTTTTCTTTTTCAACCTCCAGTGCTTTGGATCTGATCCAAAATATCAGGGACAAGGGTAACATTGCACACACACACTATTATTAATATTTTGCACACACACTGTTATTAATATTTTAAATTTGTGAACACAATGCTGAGTGCCTGGACCCTGTGGATGGAACCTGTTCATCCGGGCACGAGCAGCATATTCTCTGCTCACAGGGATTTAAAGGCTTGCAAGCTGTAGAGATTTCCATGATAGCTGCTGTCTCCTGCCTCAGTTCAGCACTCTTGTCTCCCACTCCCACTCAGCAGGCAAAGAAGAGGAAAGGAGTGAACTGATGCACTGGGTACTGCTGTTCAAATCCTCGTGGCCTTCCTCTGCTCCCTGCTGTGTGCTACGGAGTGTAACCCACACCAGTCCTGCACAGCCCCTGCTGACAGCGTGCAAACCCGGCTGTGCTGGCACTGCCTGCTCCTCCAGCCCTGGCTGAGGCCTGCCCTGCTCCTCTCCCTGTGAGATCCCCTGCAGGGACGTGCACAGGAGCACAGCCCTGGGCACGGAGCCCAGTCCCCAGATGGCACTGCTACCACGCCACATCACCCCCTCTCCTCCCACTGCCATCATCACCGGGAACCTCTGCCTGTGCAAGATCCAAACACTACAACTCTCCTCTTCCAATGACTCTGCACACGCTCTGAAATCTCCTCTTTTCCCTCACATCCCCATCCCTGTGCAGCGACGTTCAGGTGACTGTCTCACACGCAAGACCCCCCTGAGGCTGAGGCTGCCGAGCAGCAGTGCGCTGTCCTGCCGTCCTGCCGTACCTTGAAGGATATTTCAGTTGTCATAGTGAACCCGTGGGTGATGACAGGCTCCTCCTCCGCTGTCCTCCCCTTCCAGCAGTCCAGCTCCACACAGCGGCAGCCCGACAGCAGCACTTGCCGGTACATCTCCACCGAGGAGTTGCCAGCCAGCTGTCCAGCTGTGACAGCACGAGAACAGGAAGAAAGGGAAGTCGTTTGGGGCCTCGGGAGTAAATACAAACAGTCTAACAATAATTGGAGTTAACAGCAGCTTTTATCCTCGGCTGAGAAGAATAAGACTCAAAGGCACAGGAAAACGCAATGGAAATAACTTCGGCACAGTTGGTGTCGTGGTTGGGATTCTACCCTCAGCCAGGTATGAATGAGCAGAAATAACCCAACTGAACTCAGCTCAAAAACTTCTGACAGACAGCACCAAACGCATGAAATAAAATAATAATAATAATAATTTAAAAGGCTTAGCTGGACAAGACTTTGTTATGCCTTGAGAAGCAAGGTAAAATTCAGATGCGACTCAGGGCACCAAGATCACATTTTCTCACAACATGCAACACAGTTTAGTCCAAGATGAAGCAAACCTCCTGCAGTCACTAATGGTACCATTATCGGGTCTCAAATCAATATTTAATACACTAACCACTGCACTGAGGTGGCCAGTTAAATTTCCTGATGCATTCTGTAGGGAGAAATTTAATGTAACTGAAAGCTCCCAACAGTGACATAATATAAATCTAAACAAGGAAAACTCACCTTGCCCCAAATTCAGGAACTATTAAGAAAAAAAAAACCAAAACAAAACACAAAACCACAAAAAGAAACTCCAATCCAAACCAACCCAGAAGTCCAGTTGGATTCAGGGAAGGATATCCAGCCAGGGTGGCTTCACCTGCTGCAACAGGTTTGATTCCAGTCACATGGATACAAATTTCTTGCAGCAGAGAGGTAATGGAAGAATGGCTCAGTGCTTCTTTCAGATGTAAGGAAAATGGATGCAGTTTCCTGCTTTCTAACAAACTTCCTGAGTAGATCTTCCTGGATTTCTTGAAGGGAATTCACTTTCTTTCTAAGGATGAAGTTAATTTATGTAAAGATTCTTTGCTGATGGGGGACCTATAAATACTTCATCTAGACTGGCACATAATATAATGCAGATTACTCTAATCCTCATTTTATTGTCTCTGTGGTTCTATGTTTAGGTTTTCTGCTGGGAAACACACATCTGGGATTTGCTTCACAAAATGGCATCGTCTGCTTTTACTCTGTTTTTACCTTCTACTAAAAACTGTAACAAAACCCCTTCTATTTGAAAACTCCTGTTTCCTGCTTCTGTCTGTATACAGGAGCAGCAGCAATCACAAATACTCCACGAGGTATTAACGTTGCTCCTGTTCAAATCCACAAGAATTCCCAGCTCCTGCTGGAGCCAGCGGGCAACACTTGTTAATAACAGAAGAAACTGGCCAGTGCTGGAAAGCTCTGAAAACATGGATCCACTGAGCTACATTCACCTAGAAAACTGTTCCAGTGCTGTTCTTCTTTTCCCCTCAAAGCATTTTGGATTTGGATTAACCAACTATTCTGTGATTCACAAACTCTACTTCCTGAGAGAGCCCTGGTCGTTCTCATTGCTAAGTGATAAGATCTTCAACCTTCAAAAGTGCTTGAGTAAATCATGACATGCATCACTTGCCATGACACTTCTCCACAGTGCCTTATTAATAAGGCTCAGGCATTTTGGAAGGATTCCCACAAAGGATAAGAGGGTATCCAACCTCCAAACCACACAATCTTCAGAAAGACTCCCAGGCAGAGTGCAAAATGCCAGCACATATTTTAAAACTCTTCCATAGCTTTCAATTTTTCTGAAATATAGAATAAGAGGAATGTTCCCTCTAATGGTTTTTTGCATATATTATTTAGAAATTCCTGTTGTGTGAGTCTCTATTTGCACTTATTCCAAAGTATCCCTTTTGCCTTCTGCAATATGATCACACAGACACTAAAGGGAACACTTCCAGGATATTTTTAATAGCCTGATTAATGTTTTAATACTGGAAATTGAAAGCATTCTGTATTCCCTGCTATAAAACAAACAGCACCTACAGTAATACCATCACATTTGCATCCCATCACCCTGTATGGGCTAAGGAGAAATGGATTTTGACAAAAACTCGCTTTTCTGAAAAATATCATCGGCCAAATGACACCTGACAGGACACTGTGGAAAATGAGCCAGTGCTGATTGATCCAAGCTGAGGACATGGGCTAGGTTTCCCCATCCAGAGCACTTCCACACTTCTGTAACACTGAGCTGCTCAGTAAGCACATCCTTGCTAGGTCCTTTCACCACTTCTCCCAAGTGGGTTTAGAATGTAGTTGCCACTTTTAAGATTTTTTTAGTCCCCCAAACTGGGGAATATTTGGAACCGCCTGTCTCTTCACTACCCTGGCAACAGAGGCTGCTTTGGCCCCCTTGCCCAGCCACAGCCCCACCTTGTCCCAGCACGAAGTGTCCATATCCCCCCTTTGCAGGGCACAAACGTGAGCTGCCGCACCTCCTCTCTCCAGGCAAGGCCTGGCAAAGCAGTGGGAGCTCTGGATCGGTGTGCGGTGTGCAAGCTCAGGGCCCGCACTGCTGGGAGCTGACCTGACTCCAGCAGCAACAGAAGGTGCTGGCAGCGAAGGTTTTTCACACACAGCACATTTATCTGAATTTATTTCCCTCCTGAGCTGTTTTGCCACACGCAGGACAAGCGAATCAGACCCCACACTGTGACATGTTCTGCTACTGGTTCTGTGTATCTCAGTCCTCCATCAGGAATGATCTGATGGGGTTGGAAGGGAACCTGCCAGACCTTTCTGAGCTTAACACAACAGCCAGCCAAAAACTGCTGCTGGTGGCATGACATGCTCAGAAGCAGGCATCACCCAGCTTTCCTTCCCTCCCATATGGTGCTTTCCAGCTTGGAAACTGCAGAGGCACTGTTTTGGAGGCTCTGGAGGTGAAGGAGGTTTCAAGCAAGCGTTGAACGTAGATAACAAGCAGCAACAGTCAGCACTGAGGAACTGCTGAGAACAGAAAAGCTGGAGGCTGGTGGAGAAGAGGTCAGAGCAGCAGTAAAGAAGGGAACATGCCCCTCATGGGACATTTTCCTAAAATCAACTGAAAGTACTGGACTGTAAGCAGGGAAGCAGATGCTGAGGGTGGATGGGATAGTCCCACACCAGCTACCTGTGCTCAGCTGACAGCTCTGCCACCTACTGCTGATATTATTTTTTCTTTTAGCCAAAATATGTATTCAAGGCTCATGACAACAGCAGTGACCTGAGGTGACCTGAGGTGAGACTGGTGAGGCACCAGAAAAAGGCAGAGTTGCACTTTAAGGGTTAATAGGAATAAAGATATAAATACAATACCAGTGAGAAAAAAGATGAGAGACAGCAAAAAAAAGTTTGCAGAAGATGATATTTCTTTAAGTTAGCCCAGGTTAACTATAAATCACTTTTTACTTCATAGATTTTTACCTTTGTTCTTGAAAATCACATTTCCCTAAGAAAAAGAAAGCAGTAACACTCCTAAATAAATAATCAGGACTTGATGTACTGCCAAGGGTTTCTACTAAAGGCAAGGAAAATGATCAGTGTAATTAAAAATAAATTCAGAGTGTGTACATGTTTCTTTTTATGTTATAATGTTGCTTCTTTGTGCGTGCTTTTTCTGGGTTAAAAAAAAACTAACAAAAGGAGAGATAAATGGGAGGGCATTAAGCACAGTGATCATAAAGTAATGCCAGACTGAATGGTTTTCTTATTGTCCTTATAATTATTACAGGACCAGTTGCTATTTCACGGCTTCAGTGAGGGCAAAGGTGCTTCCCCCTTCCAAGGCCACTTGTTCAGATCCTTCAAACTCTGCTTGGGAAAAAAAATAGCCTGCCCCTACTCATTATGTTAATTTTACCTTCCTGTTGGAAGAAAGCAAATGGGAATGGGATTGCTGTACCTGGTCTAGGCTGTCATTTTTTGTAATAAACGGATAAGCACCAGATCATTTAATCCCATCGCTGGCCAGCGGCCACACATCTACCAAACATAATGAACCCACTGAGAAGGGAAGGGCTTGTGTTTTGGGCCTGTCAATGTGAAAATTCCCTGTAAGAAGGAACTGGAAAGAGTTTCAAACTTCTGATTTACTCCCCTCAGTTTACTATGCCAGGAATATTATGGTAAATTAAAGGGTTGAAGATTGTATTTCCAAATGTAGCTTCTGAAGTTACTTAGAAATGCAGGCAGAGAAACCTGTAGATGCAATCTGAGATGATTTGCAGACTTTCACATACAAGTCAAAGCAAGCTTAGCGAGTGTCAAGGTAAATAATTAAACACGTGAGGTCACTTGCAGTGCAGTTAAAAAAATCTAGAACAGGTTGGACTAATCAGGAATTCCCATCCTTAATTCTCTGTTCTTTGACTTCTGTGCCTCTAGACCTTTGGATCACACCTCTGTCCTGACCAACCCTGACAAAAATCCATGGTATGGTACTGGCTATAAATTCGTGCTGGCAGAGGGGAGGAAAGTGCTTTATCTCTTCAGATCAACCTTAAACTGCACCGTCTTTAAACCTCCCCGTGGGCCTGTGCTCCTCACATTTGTGAAACAGCTTTACTGCCGTCTCCCAGAAAATCTGTGTAAAGCTGCAGCATTTGGCTTATGTGGGTCCTAATCCTCACTGACAGAACACAAAGTCCACGCTGGAGGTAAGAGGCCTGCAAAACATCACAGTTAAAAACTGCTTTTGCTTTGGCCACGTCTGCCCTCCTCCAAGGAGCATAAATTTCTGCATATTGGAATCATAACTTAAAAGGGGCCCTGCTGATTTTCGCTTCTTTTAATTCAGGGAAACAAAACAGCTGTCAAACAAAACACTTATGTGACAAGTTTTAGCACAAAACACATTTTTAGAGGCAAGATATAAACCTTTGAAAAATGGCACCTAATGGAAACAATGACACTTCATTCGCTTTATGAAGGCACGAGAAGGTGCCATACAAACTGTTATAACAAACATAAACCGGACAAAAATAACTCCCCCGAGGTCTGTTTAAACTGGGCATCACCACTGCAGGGCTTTGTTTATGTTTGGGCATACTGGCAATTCAGAAGAACTTGGTCAGTTAAAGCCAGTCTGTCAATAACATTAAAAAACTTACATTATGCATAAGTCACATTTTTAGCACTTAGTGCAGCATTACTTTTTTTATTTGACATAATGCTGAGTCTCTATCAAACATGACAAAATAAACATCAAATCAAACAGGAGAGACAGAACTCCCTGTGCACGTCTGCTTGTCAAAAACATTTGTTCCTATATAAACTACACTAAAATAGTAAATTTACAATCATTTTCTCACAAGTTAACAGTATCTTACATAGAAAACAAGTGCCAAAAGTTGAATTCCTAAACTGTCTTTTTGTTTTTTCTGAATCTTAAAGTATTGTTGACAGTTTGCTGTGCAAACAATACAGTTCAGACTGTAACTCAAATTAACAGGAGCTTCTGGGTGCTCAGCCTCTTAAAAAACACGACAGCACCTAAAAATTTCAGCTCAGATATGAGATGCAGTCAGGGAGCAGAATTCCACCCCTTGCATACACGGACTGTCAGAAAGTTATGTGCCATGTTGGAACCTCCCTAATCTCTGAATCAAAGAAAATTTCATGGAGCTTAACAAACTGTCAGATTTAATGTCTAGGGGCAAATTTATTAGCTACAAAGATGTTTTCCATATTCTGCTCTGCACGCTTGTTCAGCTGCCATCAAAAGTACATCATTCATTCTCCTCCCCAAATATAGACCTTAATCTGGAATCCTATCTAAGCTGAGGGAAAATTTCTGGTCAGACTGCTGTTCACCTGCTAACAAAAGTGTATTTGATGCAGTTGTGCAGAGGCCAAAACACCAATCAAGAGCCACTCCTGCTTCTCTGAAGGCTGAACTCCATCATCGTTTCCTGCTGATGGCTTTAGTGTATTTTGTGATACCACTGGAAACATGCTAAGAATTCCTGTAAGATAAGAAATCGGATCTGTCCAGCACTGTACCTGTGAGGTAGGTGTTGTGCGAGGAATTGATGAAATAGTGTGACAGTGGTTGAGACATATCTTCATTTAAATCCAGTTTCTCAGGTGGAACGACGCCGTTCTCTTCTCCGCTCAGGTATCGCATGAATCCATCCACTGATATCTGTCCTGAGAGAAACACAGATCCAGGGAAAGCACCAGTCAATTTCAAGGGCAGATTTTGTGACAAGTAGATGTTAAGTTCAATATACACCTACACAAAGGTACCTGTGAAAGACCATATAACCACCAGCCCAGCCTTCACCCAGTTGTCCATATATTCTTTTGTTCCTACTACCTCATTTTCAGCCATGTAAGTCGCAGGTAACTCACCTCCCTTTAGCTGTACCACAGTTAAAGCATTTCACAGCCAGTGCCTACAGAAAATCAAGAGCACAGGGCAATCAGAGCTACAGAAGGCTGAAGGAACAGAGAAAAAAAATCCAGGCCTATAAAGGAAAGGGGCCTTTTGGGGAGCAAACAAGGTAGACTTCCCAGAGGAAACCAAGAAACCTGCCGAGAGCCACAGACACAGGTAACCTTGACCTCTCCTGAGTTCGGTTCAATGTGTGTATACGAACACAACGGAACTGCAAGGCAAAGCAAAACAAACTAAATGAAGCACCTTTCAAGCGGGAACTAAGCTCTGCTTTGTAATTTTTATATTTGTCTTCTAACTCCTCTCTCACTGGAGTGCCAGCATAAATGATCATTTCGTATGCTGCTGGCAAATTGGAAAGCGGAGTCCTATCCTCAGCTTAAATATCACCACTGATCTCAGTGGAGCTGTGCTGATTACTTCAGGATGAATTCTGCTGTCAAGCCTTCTGCATAAAGTTGACTTTAGGGTGTCAATTTGTACATTTAGACTCGGGAAAAAAAAAATCCAGTAGTCTATATTTGAAGATTAATGCTTCACTGAACAAATTAGAGACAGTTTTTCTTGCCTGGTATTTTTTTTATTTTGTTTGGATTCCATCTGTTGATTTACTCAACCATATAGCTTTACTTAATTCAGCACCACAGCAGAACAGATCTGCTGTATCTCTGAAGAACCTGGAAGCATCTATGTGCTGGGTGACTCTCAACAAGGAGAATTCCTCACCTCTTGTCCCCAACCCAAAACATTCTGCACAGTGTGTCTGTTAAAAAAACCCCTCAGACCGTGGCACTGAAAAATGGAAGACTTCAGTTTGACTCCTGCTCTCTCTTTTTACCCTAAAACATATAAGCTTACACATACTTTTCTAGCATATGAAACAGTACCAGGCAACCCTGCATAATTTTCTTTTTTAAAGCTTGTAACCACATGATGCAAATATAGCATGTGAAGCATTTACTTAAAATCTGTGCTTAGATCTGAGGACTTGGCTCTTGATCAGAGAAGAGAAGATGTAACAGCCCTAAAGGGCAGATCCTCATTTTCATAACAACCCAAGACTGGTGGCACTAAACAAAGTTATTCGTGTGACAAGAACTGTAGTGACAATACAGAGCAATGTAATTATCATTCATTCTTACGACAACTGTAAGATTGTTGGGAAGAAAACCATCCACTATTTTAAGGCTGTAATCTGAGTGCAATCTTGTCAGGCTCCACAGCTGCTTTGCTAAAGAGTAACCAATCATCCACAGACTTTCCTTTTCACAGAAAAACTTTGAGATGGTGAAAATTGGGGAAAAACCCCACCACTGAGGTTTTTCCCAAAACTGAGGATTTAGGAGTATCTCTTCTGCTGCATGAACCTACCTCGAGGAACATTAAGAATGCCAACAGCATCAGGTGCTATCATGGAGTTAGCCTAACCTAAAATCCACCTGAGAACTCTGCACCAAGTTCACTGGGCCACAGACAGGGTCTGGGGTGTGCATTCATACCATGCAAACTACATCATGCCAGGAAAAACAGTTAAGATCCAAAGGGGATAGCTGCCACACAGGGAACCAGCAAAGCCATGTCACGTTATAGAGCTGAAGATCCTAATGTTTGAGACAGCTCAGCCAGAGTCATCTTCAGTATCTGTGGTCTTCTGTGTCCTTCCAGCCAGACTATGAGGGTTTCCCTGTCAATTCTGCTCTAGGCTAAAATGAAATGTAGTAGTTTTCATACACACAATTCCCCCAAAAACCTGTGGCATCATAATCACCCTATTCAGAAAAAAAGGTTTCCACTGGTCACATGGATAGTCAGGCTGGTTCATACAGACATGGTTTTCAAGGTTCTCAAAGTGATCTCTGTGTTTAATCCTCAGCGTGTACCTGACAAACAGGGGCCTTGCAGTCCTTATTTTTCAGATGGAGATCTGAAGCTGAGGATAAACTAACTGAGTGGATAATAGCCCACGGAAAACCTGTGGGTTAAGCTGGGAGCTGAACTGCACAATCTCTTGAAGCCTGTCTGGGTGAACCTGAGCACCTCTGCAATAACAGGAAGCAAAGCCCAGGCCTGCACTTCCTCCCTTCCCTCTGTTTTGTGGCTCACTCTGCTTCTTTGCTTCCTTCCCCGCTGAAGTAAGACAAGGTCTGCAGAGTGCTCCTTCTGTGCATTGGCACTGGTATTAGCATAAATCACAGCAAGCATTATCCACACGTATAATTAGATACTTTCTGAGTTACACAGTTGTCTGAGCTTACGGCTGGAGAATGCTATTTTCCCCATCATAATTAAGCAGTCAGCATTTCAGAAAGTGAAGCAATTTGCAAGTTCAATTACAACCAATATTGCACCAGTGAGGTTTTCTCCGCAGAACGGAGATGGCAGATGTCAAAGGGGCTTTGTATCCTGGAAATTAAAGAGTACATTGTTTGTGACCATTGTCAATGATATTCTGAAGTCGACTGCAGTGAGGATGACCCTCGGTGGACACTCATGCAAAACAAAATAGCCTCAATTTACTGGTAAGGTTTGTTCTCTGTTTCCTTAAGCATGCTACAAATTTGCCACAGAAAAAAGTAATATGTGATCAGTTCTTTCCATTACAGCTGTCACCTTTTATCTTCAGGTATATATTAGAAAGATTTAATTAGATATAAAAAGTTAGAGAGACAAGAGACAATATAAGGCAAAGACACAGACATGACAGATCCTCATATGTTTTTTTGTTTGGTTGGTTTTGGGTTTTTTGTTGTTGTTTGTTTGTTTGTTTGATTTTTTTTTTTTTTTGGCTAAAATTATCTGAGCCCTAAAATTTGGTGACACTTTCAAAATATCCAGTGTGCTTCACATAGTTAAAATTGTAGAGTTAATAGGCTTGACTTTTGTACTCATCATTGTCTGATCTGATGTCTCTTGTCAGGACAGAGGCAGACCCAAAACTCACTGGCATTTACAGAAATGTTACCACCACCTTCAGTAGTGTTTGGTTCCAGATTTTGCTAAATAACCCCGAGCGCAATGCAATGAAGGACGAGACTCCAGCTGACTCCTTCAGCCATGCTGGAAAAGCCAGACGGAGCAGAGCACACGCAGATGTGACCACAGCAGAAGCCATGTCAGCAGCTACAGCCCTCAGCAAGATCCCTCCCTCTGCAGGGTTTGGAGTTTGCCAGCACTAGAATTTTTTTTTTTTTTCCCTTCAAATATGCCTTCTCTAATTTATCTGATTAATTAGAATTTCTCTCCCTATGGGGCCACTCAGTAGTGCTCTATTAAAACACCTAAACAACACAAACATAAAAATGCCTCCTTTTTCCTGTGGTGTCTGGCCAATTTAAATGTTCAAAACGTAACTCTTTCCCCCAGTGCCACTGGGATGCCTCACACTGAACAGGGCAGGAGCTCCTCATCCTCATCCTCCTCTCCCTCTCGGGCTCCTTACGCTTTTCCCCTCACACTTTGCACTTTTTCTCCTCACTTTCCACTTTTCCCCTCATGCTTTGCCCTTTTTCTCCTCATTTTCCAGTTTTTCCCCCTCACACTTTGCCTTTTTTCTCCTCACTTTCCACTTTTTCCCCCTCACGCTTTGCCCTTTTTCTCACTTTTCACTTTCCCCCCCTCACACTTTGCCCTTTTTCTCCTCACAATCTCCCCTTTTTCCTTCTCACACACTGCACTTTTTCCTCTTACACTTTTCCCCTCACGCTTTGCCCTTTCTCCCCTCACACTTCACACTTTTTCTTCCTCCCATTTCGCCCTTTTTCCCCTCACAATTTTCACTTTTTCCCCCCACACTTTGCACTTTTTCTCTCACACTTTCTTTTTTTCTCCATCATACTTCGGCACTTTTTCTCCTCACTTTCCACTTTCCCCCCCGCACACTTTTCACTTTCTCCCCTCACACTTCACACTTTGCCCTCACATTTTGCCCATTCTCCCCCTCACACAGTGCACCTTCCCCCCTCATACATTCCATTACTTCCCTCACATTTTCCACTTTCCCCCTCACATTTCCCATTATTTCCCTCACACTTTCCACCTTCCCCCTCGCACTTCACACTTTTTTGCTCACATTTTTCACTTTTTTCGTCACGCCCTGCACTTTTTGTCCGTCACACTCAGCCCCTCTGGATAAATCACGGTGTCTGTCAGAACCACTGGCTCCCGCTCCGAACCGCAGCCGCTCAGGTGCGGTGTTGGCCTCCGGCCTCAGTGGACCGAGGAAATTTGTGATGAATGTCAGCCACAGGGGATTTGACTGTCAAGGCCAGATAAAGTTTGGTGCCTGCTAAATAAATAGCAGATCCATTTTATTGTTTCTACTGTGCATTGGAACGGGTCTGGAAAATATAAGAGCAAGTACTGAGGAGAAACACAAAAGCGTCTAATGTATTCCTAGTCACAGACACTCTGCGCACCTCAAAATTAGAAATGTGTAGCCGAACACTTGTGTAAAGATTATCTTAACTTTGATGTAACTCTACAAATGTACCTGAATTAAAAACTTTCAAGAGCTAGAGCCACTGGAAAGTCTATAAATGTTTTTATATGCCTCTCTTTGCACTTATACACCTACGTACCTTCCAAAACCCATTCTCTAAAGAGGCTTTTAAAAGAAAAGGACCTTGATTTCTCCCTGTATTTTAAACATTTTACCCATTTCTAGGTATGAAATGCAGGGCACAGTGCCCTCACTATCAGGACTGCCTGCTTGCCCATGCAGACACTTAATCACACCACAAAGTTCCCCTGC